CAAAGTAGGAAAGTTGTCATATAACCATTAGATTAACAAGTTTTCTATCCTTACCTCTTTCCATCCTTCCTACCAAGCAAAGCCTTAAAGAATCTAGAGAGTGGCTGCATTGAACAAAAATGCTGAAAGTTAGGCTGTAACTATTTCAGCTCTGTAGGATACTTAACTTTTTGAAGTCTGAGCTGATTCTAGGTAATAACCTGATTCTTGGCCTTCCATGGATATATTAAGTGCAGTTTGGATTACATTATGGGCACACGATCTGTTTGCTAGGCCTCAACCTGTTTGTTTTCTGTAGATCAGCTAAATTCTAGTGTCATCAAATGCTATCATCTTGCTGTAGTTTGGATAAGTTTTAGTGTCGGTGACAGAAAAGCCTTGTATGGCCTTTGGAAAGCTATAATATTTTATGTTGTGGTGGGTTTTGACTTTTGACACGTCCAATATTTCTAAAGGAATATATCATCAGGCTGCAAAGTTTTATGTGCAGAGAATAAATTAATTGATCTTCTTGCATCTGTTATTATTTTTGCTAGTAGGGTATCCTGACCTTAAGGTGTTTTTAAGATGTCTTTTTCATACTAGCTTTGGCTTACATTACCCTGTTTTTCTGTTGTAGCTCCTATTCCAACCGTGTCTCTTTTTAATGAAATTTCTTCTTTGTTTTTTGGTATATTTGCATCTTGAAAAATGTAAGAAAGTGTTCGGAGATTCAAATATCTGTATATACATTCGGTATTGATTCTAATTTTTCTCATATTATGTAAGTTTGGTGAACTTCGTAATTAGTATCTGTCTTTTCTGCATAGATGGAGAAACTTGAAAGAGAAATTAGGGAATCTAAGTTTTCAGAGCTTATGAACAAACACTTCGCTGCAAGTTCCATTCCAAAAGGCATCCACTGTCTTTCTCTGCATTAACTGATGAATACTCTTCCAATGCTCATGCACGCAGACAACTCCCTTCTCCTGAGCTCCTTCCTGTGCTTTCTAACAACTCTTACCACCACTTCGTCCTGTCAACGGACAACATATTGGCTGCATCGGTAGTTGTTACTTCTGCTGTCCAGTCCTCACTAGAACCTGACAAGATTGTCTTCCATATCATCACAGACAAGAAAACTTATGCGGGTATGCATTCCTGGTTTGCACTAAACCCTGTATTCCCGCCATAGTTGAAGTGAAAGGTGTTCACCAGTTTGATTGGTTAACTAGAGAGAATGTTCCCGTGCTTGAAGCTGTAGAGAACCATAATGGCATCAGAGATTACTATCATGGCAATCATATTGGCAAGGGCAAATCTCTCTGATACTACTCCTCGAACATTCGCTTCAAAATTGCAGGCTAGAAGTCCAAAGTACATATCCTTACTCAACCATCTTCGGATATATTTACCAGAGGTAATTAGATGTGACTATAACATTTTCTTCTCTTACGTGGACAATTTCCATTGTTGCACATTGTCTTTCCTCCTTTAATGCGTATGCTGATTGTGTGTTTTCTACAGCTTTTCCCGAACCTCGACAAAGTGGTCTTTCTAGATGATGATGTTGTAATTCAGCGTGATTTGTCTCCTCTTTGGGAGATTGATCTATGGGGAAAGGTTAATGGAGCTGTAGAAACTTGTAAAGGTGAAGATGAGTGGGTGATGTCCAAACATTTCAGAAACTACTTCAATTTTTCCCATCCCCTTATAGCTAAGCATTTGGACCCTGATGAATGTGCATGGGCTTATGGGATGAATATATTTGATCTCCATGCATGGAGAAAGACAAATATAAGAGAAACATATCATTCCTGGCTCAAAGAGGTAACTTAGCAGCTGCTAATTTTCCTGACCGTTTCTGTAGTTTGACCTTCCCTTTTAGACTTTACTGACAATGACCATCAAAGTTGAATGTTGGAAATGAAATATCATCTACTTAGCTGCAAGAGGGTTCAGACCAATGATGGTGCCCCCCTCCTTGTGTCTGAAACTGAATTTCATCATTGTCATCCTTCTTTTACATTTACCGATCATCAATATGTGGATGGGCTTCGATCTTTTTATATTTTGTGTAGGGGCACTTTTTGTATGGAAGAAATTCCGTTTGTTTTACATTATTTCCAAGGCAGAAATATATACAGATTTATGACTCACCTTTGGTTGGATTGAACAACATTGATGGAAACTAAAACTTCACCGTGGATGTAAACTTAGACAAGAATACATTGACTAGTATTTAGTATTTTATAGTGAATTGTTGGCAAATAACAGTTTCTTTCACTCTTTTACTCTGATTGTTGGTTTCTTTGTGGCAGAACCTGAAGTCAAACCTGACTATGTGGAAGCTTGGAACTCTACCACCTGCTTTGATTGCATTTAAAGGCCATGTTCATCCCATTGACCCATCATGGCATATGCTTGGCTTGGGTTATCAGAGTAAGACCAACATTGAGAATGTGAAAAGAGCTGCAGTTATTCATTACAATGGCCAGTCAAAACCGTGGCTGCAGATTGGCTTCGAGCATCTTCGGCCATTTTGGACCAAGTATGTCAACTACTCCAATGATTTTGTTAGGAACTGCCACATTTTGGAATCATAGCTAAGCAGCTAGAGGAATAGAAGGAAAATAGACTTGGAAGAGACACTAGCAAGTCAAGTGTCATAAGTTTTATTGTGGCCTGAAAGTTTTCTCAAGATCTATTTGAGAAGGTGAGATGAAAATTGGCCAAGAGAGCAACAATTTTGAGGACTAGATTTACTATCATAACGCAATATTTTGCAGGAAGGACCTGCATTACTAGCACGGGCATGAATTCATTCATTCAGTTTGTAACATAGCAATCAATGTTTAATTTTTTCAGGGTGGGAAAAGGTTACTCATATGGGTTTTCCTGCAAGGGTTCTTGGCTTAGTGCATACGTTGGAATAAGGTGCAAAATACACAAGACTAGAAGTGCTCCCGTTGATGTCATTGGATTCATTGGTATAGGAAGAGAATGGCTTGGGCTGTTCATTTGGTGAGGCTCCCACATCAGCCCAGACTGTTCTTTCCCTTCCATTTTTTTAAATATTTTTTTGTTGGTTTCAGTTTTGTTAGTTCCTCCCCTATTTTTTTTCCCTTGATTTTTAATATCTTGTTGAATTTTAGGACTAACTAGATCATGGAGATTGCCCTGTTACAGCTCCCATGAATTGGGGACCTGTTCTTAGGTTATATTTCGGTATTTGTTATGTACACTTCACGAGAAACACTTAAAAAATGTGCAGAAAAATTCTTTTCCAATTTTTTCACATATTTGTGAGTTATTACCATGTCTACTGCGCCATGCAAATGTTGTTGTCAGCCTCCAAAACAAACTAAAGACCAAAATGGTTTGAAGAGATTTTTTTAAACTAAAGTTGTAAATGATATATTAATATTTATAAGTTATTTAAATTCGATTTGAATAAATTTTAAATTTAGTTTGGTTATTGTTGAGTTTGTATTCGAATAATTTAATTTATTTAACGAATCAAGTTTGAGTATCTTAATATTCGATTTAAGTAACATCTTAATGTTTAATTTGAATAGCTTACAAATTTAAAAGAACTTTTAAATTTTAATATATTTTATTATTTTAATTAAAAAAATTATTATTTTACTTATATATATATATATATTAATTCGAGGTTATATTCAAGTTCAAACACATAATTGAATTTGAAATTGAGTATAATAATTAAATTTGTTTTTATTAACTAAATTTAATAGAGTAAGTTCGAGTAATTCGAATTTTATTTTGAGTTAAATTTAAATTTAAAAATTAAAATTTAATCAAATTAAAGTCGAGTTTTAAATAATAAATTTTGAGTCAAATTAAAATTTTTGTATCAACTTAATTCAGTTTTTTGATTATATTTATAATTTAGAGACTTGGACAGCATATATTTTACATGCAGCCATCTTTTTTTTTCCTTTTCATATTATCATTAAATTATTTATAAATTTGTTTCAATCTAATGTCTTTTAAGCGATTTTAAAGGAATAATTTTATATTGATTTGATAAATTCAAAATTATACTTGCAAATGATTTTAAAAATTCATTGAATTTTAACTTAAAAAAAAACAAAAATCCTTCTCTTTATCAGCAGAAGTAACCTATATCTAGGTATTAAATATGTACCAAAAAAAGCAAATAGTTAAATGATAAGATGATAATTATAGCTTTGTTTTTTTTAAAAACCTAAGTTTCAAAGTCAAATCTGCACTTAAATTTAGCCTTCAAAAAAAAAAAAAAAAGATAGAATTTAATCTCTTGTTTAAATGGCTCTTAAATCTTGTGCATTGAAATGCTCGTGAAAGCATGAAGTCAGTTGTGAATCTTGTGATCTCATCTTATATATTATGCAAACGGAATTTTTTTTTTTTTATGCACAATGATTCTAATAAACAAAAAGTTGTTAATAAACAAATATGGTGAACAAAAAGATTCTTATTTCTGGAATTTGTTAAGCTGATGATTACAAGAAAACCCAAGTTAGAATAATTCTTATTTCTGATGTTTCAAGGTGAAAGGTTCCTTGTTCTTAACACATTCCTAATCAATCCTATTGGCATATTTTTTTTTCCATTTTCTTTAATACAATTTTTGCTTTCATCTTTCCATTAATTTAACCATATGTATAAGACTTGATTAGCCTCTTCTCTTTGATTTTTATTCCAATTTCCCTTGTATCGAAGAATCTTAAAAGCTTTTGAACATGTCGAACTGCCAAACTAAAGCAGACATCAAAATCTTTTCCTTTTTTTTTCTTTTGTCTATTTGAATAATAAAAAATTCGATTTTACTCACAAGTAATTGTAATAAAATTTTTTGATTTATATATATTGGAATTACAGACATTAAATTTAAAAATCTCTTAAAAAGGTGAACTAAAATTTCTCAAATAAAAAATATTATTATTATTATGACAAGGAGCGTAGTTTAGTTTAATTAACAAAAGGTCATTCTTTTATTTATTTAATTAATTTTTTAGAAGAGAGAGAAAGAAAGAAATGTGTCCATTCCCATAGCCATAAGAAATAGAAAGGAGGAGGCAAGAATGGAAGCATTGACCATTGGTTTAGAGGACTAAAAAAACTTATAAACAGTCTCATCTGTACAGATTTCTTATTTGATCTCGTCCTCTTCAACTCTCTCTGTTTTGTTTTTTTAATTGATTTGATTTCATATAATAAATAATATCAAAGCAGCCTCGTCGCTGTTTCTTTTTCTCTTCTTCTTCTTTTTCTTCAAAGCTTGCATTCTACAGCCAAAAGAAACCAACCTAGATCAGTTTCAGACTCAAGTAAGATAACCCATGAAGCTTTTCACTTCTTTTAAATATTTGTTTAGTTTTGGAGTCACCAAGTTTTGGATTTTAGCGGATTTTGTGATCTCAAAGACTATAATTTGGTGATTTTACTGTATGTTTATGTCAAATTTTTTTTTGGTGTCTCACTAGTTTTTGTTTTTGTGTGTGTGTGTGTGTGTGTGTGTGTTTTTTTTTTTTTTAAATTTTAAGGAGTGGATTATATTCTATTTTTGGTTTTACCCAATTTGCGCTACTTGAAACAGTTGTTCAAATCCCTACTGTTGTTACTTTTATAGAGTATTTTCCTAAACTAGATTGCCTGCATATCTGTTTCTAATATATCTACGAGTCTAAGTAATTCAATTTTTTTTTCTTTTCTTGTATTTCAATTCTGCAGAATTTCCAGTTGAGAATTCTTGGGGGGGTTTGATTATTGCAAATATAATAAACCAGGCACTTGAGAGGAGTCTTGGTATCTTTACAGCAATCCAGATTGAGGTTTTTGTATGCAGTTTAGGAGAAGGCCCGAGTAAAGATCTTGGGTGGTTCAGATTTTCAAGTCTCTAAGGTTTTTGGAGATGGCTGGTGTCCAAAATCAGTTGGAGATCAAGTTTCGTTTGACTGATGGATCCGATATTGGTCCTAAAACCTTTCCTGCTGCTACTAGTGTTGCAACCTTGAAGGAAAGTATTCTTGCTCAGTGGCCTAAAGGTTGAGTCTCAGGCAAACTTTCAGCTTCTTGTATTTACATATCTGCTCTTCATCTAATTGTTTTTTGCTTACTGTTTTATTGTTCCTTATGGTTTGAACTAGAAGGATGGAATCATGACAATATTTTTTCGAAATTTATGCAGTTTATTCATATTGCTGGTTTAATATTCAGATGAGAGAAACTATGCAAGAAAATAGAATCATTATATTATGCTTTACTTCCTTCAGAATTAGGACAAAATCTATCCTTCATAGCAGAGTAACTGGAATATGTTCTTTTATCAGTAAATGCATTAGAAATGCATTAGAAATGCTGATTACTTCTGCTGTATGAAATGCTTAATAGTGAAATATTTCCAAGGTAACCAAAATAACATGCTAAAAGAATAAAGAATGGTTCCGGCTTTTTTCCTAGTTTAAGATGAATAGCAGTCAATTTTTTTTTTTTTGTACAAACTTGTATCATTTGAAGAGTGTCATAAAATACTGCTCTTTCTTTTTTTTGGATGAGTGATATTTGTATTCGTTCAAAGAAAGCAGGCTAGCCTACCACATTTAAACCAACGTACTTTAGAGGTTTTGGTTTGCTTCATTGCATCATAGGTGTTTCTAGTGGAAATGTGTGTCCTTATCTGATGTCAGCTTTTAAACTACAAGGCACTTTTGTTAAGCATTTTATAATTGAATTCCAAACTGGGATGATCTTGACTCAAGTTTTAGAATTTATGCTAGTATATTGCTGTTGTCAGTTTGTTGATCCTGCTTTCCTCTCCCTCCGTCTGTCTCTCTTGATTCTTGCTCTTAGGTGCTTTGTCAGAATACGGGGAGTGTTGCAGTTAGTTTTAATTGTAAAATACAGTTACTCAGTTCAACTAAAAGCTTAGTTTGAGCTAAGTTCTGCCTTCTAGCTCTTCATTTACCTTGCATTTCACATAAGAGAAAAATGGCAAATGCGGTGGCATATTTTTTACTAAACCTAAAAAAATGAGAAAAGAAATGGTTGCATAAATACACAATGTCATACAAGATAGTAAGGAATGGATTGCTTATGTTTGTTTTGGACTGTAGTCAAGGAGGAGTTTTAATTTTTGTCTCTGGTTAAATGGCATTGGATTTCTTTTATGGTCTTTTATGATTCCTGTATATGGGGAGACCTCTCTGCTTTATTTTTTTTATTTTGTTTCATTCCTATTAAAATTCTTCTGATTAAAAATTGTCCCAAATGTGTAATTATACTCTTTATTTTTTTGGGCAGAGAAGGAGAATGGTCCAAGGACAGTGAAAGATGTCAAGCTAATTAGTGCAGGAAAAATATTGGAGAACAACAAAACACTGGGAGAGTGCCAGAGCCCTCTTTGTGATATTCCCGGTGGACTGATGACTATGCATGTTGTTGTCCAACCTCCTCCTTTGGAGAAAGGTACAATTATTATCCATTGGATTCCAAAAATTATAATCTGAAAATTTCATAGAGAGAGATAATACTCCTTTGTCCTTTTGTCTTTGCAGTAGCAATTTTGAATTTATCTTTTCTTTAAGGAAAAAAAAAAGGGAAAACCCTTCTGTTTGAAATTTACTCAAACTTGCTGGTTGAGGTTCTACTTGTTAGGTCAAGGGAACACGTTTGCTGATGTTTGCATTCTTCTGACTTTAGAGAAGCTTAGCTGAGTATTCTTGGCTATTTCTTGTTACTAGAAAACCCAGATTGAATCCAACCATACATATCCGGCTACCAACTTGTGTTGTCCTTTTCCCAACTTGGTGATGCTTTTATGTTTTTTTTTTCCCTTAAAGTAACATTTTTATCTTTCATTAATGAGCAGAAAAGAAAGCACCAAACCAACCAAAGCAGAACAAATGTGTTTGTGTCATATTATAATCCACAGCTTGAAGAGGGGATGACATCATTATCAGGTGGTTTTAGTTAATTGACTATTTCTTCACTGCTAACGTAATCCTTGGCTTTAAACTAAGTTACACATCCTCAAATTTTCCGCAGATGAAGAATGATTGAACTGGTATAGAAAATGAAGTTGGGAACTTTTTGATTGATGAAGGCGGTTGACATCATTCACTTTGATTGGTGTACGCCTTATTTGTGTAGGTGATGATTGTCCATCCATTTTGTTCACTTTGTTCTTTTCAATTAGACTTTGCTATCAAGCAATTAAATCTCAGATTTTATGCCCAAACACGTCTCACCGAATGCATTTTCCACATTTTTATCTTTTGAATTCGTCTTTGCTTACATAATATCATTTTTTCAATCGTGTAATTTGATCTGGTACTCAGATTCATGTTGCTGGTCATACTTTTACCAAGTACAAAGGCTGACAGCTACAATTAGAACTGGTATTGTTCCTTTCTGCATACCAGGTTCATGATGGCTCGGAGTTCATATTACGGTTTCATGCATTTTTAATCGACTTGATGTTTCCATAACTTGTTGGTGTGAAAGGATAACCACTGTTTAATTCTAGGAAGATGTCTAAATTACAAATAGCCATTTTCTTTAGTAATTTGAAGATCACCTAAATTCTGTCATTTTATCAAGGAACTTGGTAGTGAAAGATCATTGCAATAATGTAGAAATTATTGAAAGGGTGGAATGAATTTGGAAGAACTATTGGGTAAATCTGCTTGGGATTTTACCATGGATGGTCAAATTCAAGCTCAATTGGGGACATATAAATATGAAACTTTTAAGGAATTCGAGCACTTCGATTTAGATTGGTAATAATTTGACAAAATTAAAGCTAATGATCTTAGACCCTAAACTTGTTAAACGGAAAAGGGTAGACCCAAAAAAAAAAAAAAAACTATTTAGCAATGGTAATACGGTTGCTAAAGCAATAACACCAGCAAAAGACCATTAACGTGGTGTATTGGCAAAGTATTTGTTTTTAAATTTCAATCAAACAATTTATGGTGTAAATCATTGGTAATTTGCGTATTCTTTCGTGTATGACATGAAAATTATTTATTGGATCATGGACTGCCCTTATTGGGCTCGCCAACCAATGTGTTTTTTAAAAATATCCGAGATGCCAGAATACTTCATGAGAAGACAAAATATAAAATTATTATATTTTTTAATCATAATTATAAATAATTAAAAATGAAGGTGAAACCCGAATAAACTTCCAAAAAAAGGAAAAAAAGAAATATTATTTCTTTTTCATCATATCCGCAAAGGCGCCAAGATTGGCCACGCGTATGAACACAAAGGATTACCGCTACTTTCGTGACATTTCTCGAACTCTCTGCTCACTGAAACCTCTGTACAAAACAAATACGCGACGAACTTCTTTTCTTACCCCACCCCAAAAAATAACTAAAACGACATCCTTAAACTACATAAAACGCTAAAGAAGAAACGAAAACGAGAAACTACGAGAAAAGCTGTGAGACAACAACAGAAGAAAGGAGAGGCCCTTTTTTTTTCTTCATTTTCCCTCATTCCCACGCAAAGCCTTCGTCTTTTGATTATTCATTTTAATCACTTCTCTTTCTGAACTTAGACCAACAATGGCTGCTTCTTCTTCTTCGATGGCATCGTTTAATGGGGTCGGTTTATGTGCCACACATTCCGTTTCCAATAACAAAAACAATCTCTTTTTAGCTTACCCGCGCCTTTCTTTCAGCTTTACTTCAAAACCCAACTCCTTAAAATCCTTTAAACCGCTTCAGTTAAAGAAAAATGGGGTTTTTGAGCGATTTTCAAGGACTTCTTCTAGGTCTTTCATTGTTCGTTGTGAAGCTTCAACGGGAAGGGTAAGCTTGTTAGGCAATAGTATTTATGAAAATCTGAACAGTTGATAGTTTGTTTTATGCTTTTCGATATTTCTGTTGATAGTAATTTTATCAACTGATAGCCAATCCTGAATAGTAAAAAAAGAAAGCTTTTGAATTAATTTAATGGGTTTAGTTTTTTTGGTGTTTAGGAGATTGAATTTGTATTGATTTCGAGTTGTTTCTTTAGTGATTTTCATTGGTCCAATGCTAATGTTGTACTATGTTTCTTTGTTTTTTTAAAGTTCTGTTTAGTTTTGGTTTAAGACACTATTGCTAATTTGTGAATTTAAAATTTACTTTTTTGCTGCCTTGTGTCTGCAATGGTCTTATTAAATGTTTTTATACTTTATACTGTATTGAAAAACGTGATCTTGTGTATAATAATGTGAAGCAGTTTGGTTTTTCTATGTAATTTTATTTTTGAATTTTATTTCTTGAGTTGGGGTTGGGATGTTTTGACAGATTACTCAACAAGAGTTTACAGAAATGGCCTGGCAAGCCATTGTTTCTTCTCCAGATGTGGCTAAGGAGAACAAGCATCAGATAGTGGAGACTGAACACTTGATGAAGGCTCTCTTGGAGCAGAAGAATGGTCTTGCTCGTCGGATATTTTCTAAAGTTGGTGTTGACAATACTCGCCTTCTTGAAGTGACTGATAAGTTCATCCAACGCCAGCCAAAGGTAACTCTTACTACATTCTAATCTATTCACATTGATGTTCTATACAACACCTTAACCATTGATTTTAGGTTTTTTAATTCTTTTATTTTTGGTACATTTGATTTTAGTCAATTGAACTTTGTGCACCATACGCCTTTGAGGCTCATCACAGATTATTGTTTTTTCTGAAGTTCTGAATTGGTGGAAACTTTTACATTCTTAAAACTATGTTTAATTACAAATTTTGATTCTTTTAGTTAATGCTTGACCATGTTAGTTAGCTATGTTTCATCTGTGGATAATGTAGTGCTGTATCCTGATCATATATCTCTTCTCTGCTGTCTAAACATACTAGGTTTTGGGTGAATCTGCTGGTTCAATGCTAGGACGTGATCTGGAAGCTCTGATCCAGCGGGCTAGAGAGTACAAGAAGGAGTATGGGGATTCATTTGTTTCTGTTGAGCATTTGGTTCTTGGATTTACACAAGATCAACGTTTTGGGAAGCAGTTGTTCAGGGATTTCCAGATATCCCAACAATCCTTGAAATCTGCAATAGAATCCATTAGGGGACGTCAGTCAGTTATTGACCAAGGTAACAGAAATTTCCTTTCTTTACCTTCTGTTAACCAAACCTAAAGTGTTTCAGGAATTTGCTTGGTTAAATGAAATAGGCAGGTTCAAAATATAGCAAGTTGTATGTGAGTTGTGGAGAGTGAATTAGATTCTTCTTCCCTTCATGGATGACTTGTATTATCTTTTTGTTGATCCTGTGTATTGGAACCTTTTATTTATTTATTTATTTTATTTTACTTTTTTTTTTTTTATGGAAGTAGCTTCTGGCTACTTAGCTTTGTTGTTCAACCTTTTTTCCCTTTTTTTTTTCTTTTGGGGGGGGGGGGGGTCGGTTGGTGGGATGAGTGGAGACAGGGCTGGGGATTGAAGGAACAAGATGGTCGGAGATCCCTTAAGATTTCTGGATGCAAAGTTGAACCAGGTGTTTGATTTACAAGCAGATGGGCCAAATTTTGGAATGCTTTCATGTGTGCTTGGTTGGCTTTTTGTTGGCTAAATTGTTTTTGTTCTTTTAGTTCTGCTATTTTTAAGACATCTTATTTTGTGAATTATGGGATTAATTCAGTGCTCCTTGTCATAACCTTGCTTCTTGTGGCTTCAGTGTATTTGATTGCTCTATTTTTCTTGGGTTTTAATGGTATATTTTCTGTTCACTTCACTGTGTTCCTAACACCGTGCGTTTGAATGTAGATCCTGAAGGAAAGTATGAAGCATTAGAAAAGTATGGAAAAGACTTGACTGCGATGGCGAGAGAAGGAAAACTTGATCCAGTGATTGGAAGAGATGATGAAATACGGAGGTGCATCCAGATCCTCTCTAGGAGGACAAAGAACAATCCTGTGCTGATTGGTGAACCAGGTGTTGGGAAAACTGCAATCTCTGAAGGGTAAGTACTTAGGTTTTTGCTTCATGCATGTCATATACATATCCCTGCGAGCAAACAAGAAAATGAATGTTCAGAAATTCTCCTTTATATTTGTTTAGTTATTATATTTTTCAAATTCTGCCTTATCATGTCAATAATTCCACAATATGTTGCTGACTTTCAATATGGTGAACTTTTGGTGTCCTCATTATTAACTTAAGCCTCAGTTCAGTATGTTGCCTCAAATGTGGTGAGTAGCATGCTGTTATAACCCACTTACAATGCATAACTAGGTACAGCACTTCTGATGCAGGCCGGTTGTTATATGTGTACCTGGTCTTAGGTTGCCATGATGAAGTCAGTTTGCTTTAATTAGCAACCTTGCAATTAGTGTTAGCTTAGTTACTACATTATCTACATGATCTCACTGTGTCTTTTAACAGGCTTGCCCAGAGAATTGTGCAAGGGGATGTCCCTCAAGCTTTGATGAACCGAAAGGTGTGTGCTATGCCTTGAAGTTAACTAGCATCCTTTTTTCAGGAAAAATCAAATGTCGTTATTTTGGGGGGTGGGTGGGTGTGCTAAATTACAATGTTGCTAGTTTATCCGGGCTGTTGATGAAATGGTGGATACTGATCAAATCCAGTTCTTTTGTACAGCTTATATCCCTTGACATGGGTGCACTCATAGCTGGGGCCAAATATCGGGGAGAATTTGAGGACAGACTGAAGGCTGTACTTAAGGAAGTAACAGAATCAGAGGGCCAAATTATCCTATTCATTGATGAGATTCATACAGTTGTGGGGGCAGGTAATGTTTTTGTTTGAGTTTTGTATTTTCATAGGCTGATTACACAATATCTGTAAAGTTGGCTGAATTGTGAGAGCCTTTTTGTCTGTTTGTGTTGGTGTTTATGGGTTATATCAGTTTGTGAAAGTTTACCCCTTCTACTAGATTGGAGATAATTGTTTTTCATGGAAATTATGTGTATCTCTCCTGATAAAATTCTAAGGCTGATAGACTGATAATACTTGATTCCTAATCTGTGGAAATTATCTCTATGTCAGGTGCCACAAATGGTGCAATGGACGCAGGCAATCTTCTAAAGCCTATGCTTGGTCGGGGAGAACTGCATTGTATTGGGGCAACAACACTGGACGAATATCGTAAATACATTGAGAAAGATCCAGCCCTGGAGCGTCGTTTCCAGCAGGTTTATGTTGATCAGCCATCAGTAGAAGATACAATTTCTATACTCCGGGGACTTCGTGAGAGATATGAGCTGCATCATGGAGTCCGTATTTCTGACAGTGCACTAGTGGAAGCTGCAATCTTGTCTGACCGTTATATCAGTGGTCGATTTTTACCTGACAAAGGTAATATATGCACAAACATAACAACTGGGAATTGGAGATGCCCATGCAAGTTGCAACATGAGATTATAAAATGCTATTGATTAATGGGTTATTGTGGTGAGAGCTGGAATAATTTGTGATTTACTACTAACTAATTGAACTGTCTTTATGTTTTCTATTTTCCCAGTTATGGGAATGGTTGTTAGGTTTAAGAATTAAGACAATGAGCTGCTTGAGTTTCTTGAACATTTTATATGTTTTCTGACACTACCATTTTAGTTTCTGGAAATAATTTTTAGTCCTAATATATGGTTTCAAATTGCAGCTATTGATTTAGTTGATGAAGCAGCTGCTAAATTGAAAATGGAAATCACTTCAAAACCCACTGCCCTTGATGAGATTAATCGTTCAGTACTGAAGCTCGAGATGGAGAGGCTGTCTCTCACAAATGATAATGACAAAGCTTCAAGAGATAGACTGAGCCGCCTTGAGGCTGAGTTGTCACTCTTAAAGGAGAAACAGGCTGAGTTGACCGAGCAATGGGAGCATGAGAAGACTGTCATGACACGCATCCAATCAATCAAGGAAGAGGTACGCAAGTGTCCTCTAGAAATTTCTAAAGCTTTGTTTTCTGCAACCATATATTTTGTTATTTATTATCCACAAGAGTGAAGACTGCTTCTTTAAACATTCTCAGATTTTTCCTACTAGCATCAATTTAGAAGCTGATAATGGTGGTAACCTTTATTTTATATCAATTGAAGACAAAAAGAGGTAGTTCCTAACTGTTCTATACAGATTGACAGGGTAAATGTAGAGATCCAGCAGGCTGAGCGGGAGTATGATCTCAATCGTGCTGCTGAGCTGAAGTATGGGAGTTTGAACTCTTTGCAGCATCAACTTGCTGATGCAGAAAAAGAATTGGATGAGTATATGAAATCTGGAAAATCCATGCTGAGAGAAGAAGTTACAGGAAATGATATTGCTGAAGTAGTTAGTAAATGGACTGGCATACCAGTTTCCAAGCTTCAACAATCAGAGAGGGAGAAACTATTACATTTGGAGGAAGAGTTGCATAAACGTGTCGTGGGTCAAGATCCTGCAGTTAGATCTGTAGCTGAGGCCATTCAGCGATCTCGAGCTGGTCTGTCAGATCCCCGTCGTCCAATTGCCAGTTTCATGTTTATGGGTCCCACTGGTGTTGGGAAAACAGAACTTGCTAAGGCCCTTGCATCCTACTTGTTTAATACAGAAGAAGCACTTGTTCGCATTGATATGAGCGAGTATATGGAAAAGCATGCAGTTTCAAGACTCATAGGTGCTCCACCTGGTTATGTAGGGTATGAAGAAGGAGGACAGCTGACAGAGACAGTTCGACGGAGGCCCTATGCTGTAATTCTTTTTGATGAGATAGAGAAAGCTCATTCTGATGTATTTAATGTTTTCCTTCAAATTTTGGATGATGGGAGAGTCACTGATTCACAGGGTCGTACTGTGAGCTTTACCAACACTGTCATCATTATGACTTCAAATGTGGGTTCACAGTATATTCTTAACTCTGATGAAGATGCACCAAAAGATATAGCTTATGAAACTATTAAGCAGAGGGTGATGGAGGCTGCAAGAGCAGTTTTTCGACCTGAGTTCATGAATCGTGTTGATGAGTATATAGTGTTCCAGCCTTTGGACCGAGAACAAATAAGCAGTATTGTGAGATTACAGGTAATTTCATCTTCGTGACCTTTTTGTGGCTTAATTGCTTACATGTGCATTTACATAATGTGGATTTTATTATAATGGAAATAGAGACTCTGAATTCTAAACCACGACATATCCATTATAGGATATCATAAAGATAACAATTACATTTTTTAATTATAAAAATTTTAAAAATATACTATAACATTAATAGTGATAATATTATATTATGCTGCTGCTGTTGATTCTTAAATGGTCTTTGTAAGAAAGGGACAGTAGTTTGGTTGGTCATCCTTGAATCTGATATTGCTTGGTCTGGATTTCTTCTCTAGACTAGATTTTGATTCAGCAAGTGACCAAATGTGCTGTTTATTGATTATTTTCTTTTGAATGATCAATTTATTGATTATTTTCTTTTAAATGATCAATTTACCGTCTTCAGGTAGGATTCAATCATAGATCTATATTTTTGTTGCAATAAAGAAATACTTGTCCTCATCACTTTGTCAAGCTTGTTTGGTTTCTCTGTGATATCTGCCTTATATGGTAGTTTGTCACTCCCTTACCTTTTGTCTTTGTTTGTTTTACAGCTGGAACGTGTGCAAAAGAGGATTGCAGATAGGAAAATAAAACTTCAGGTTAAAGACGCTGCTGTTCAGCTTCTTGGTAGTCTTGGTTATGATCCGAACTATGGTGCTAGACCTGTCAAAAGAGTGATTCAGCAGAATGTGGAAAATGAACTTGCCAAGGGCATCTTGAGAGGGGAGTTGAAGGATGAGGATACCGTCTTATTAGACACAGAGCTAATAGCTGCAAATGGGCAGCTGCCCCAGCAAAAGCTAGTCTTCAGGAGAATTGACAAGGATTCAGATAGTCAAGCAACAGATGGTCAAGAAGCTTTATCACAGGCTGTCTGAGAGTTGTATTTAAGTTTTACCTAAATGCTATATGTTTTACACAATTTTGCGCAGGGAATGCTTCAGCTCCCTCTTAAATCTCATATTCTATATCCTATATTGTATTGTATCCGTAAAAGAAATCAAGGCTCACGATCTTCCCTTTGCTGCCTAAATCCATTCTGGCTCGAATGTCTTTGTTCCAAGATGGCAAATACTATCTCAGAGAAAATAGTGCCAGTGGAATATTATGATAATTTTTTACGGTAATTTTTATGTTTTTCGTGTATTAAACATGAAATAGATAGATACATCTATACTGTTTGTCAAATTTACTTTTAACATAGCATAGTGTAATTCAGGAGTTGAAATTAAACGTTGATAAGTCAAACTGATGTGAGTCGGTATTATTTAAGGTCTGAGTGAAATGAACAAGCCATTAACATCCAGCCCAAAACCTACTTCCTGCACCATATTATGGTCCATGACCCTCGGACCGTAATTCCAAAAACAGAAACCAAGATGTTTCGGGCATTCTTTAAAGGCCATATATAATAAATGCAATGGATTTAAATTTATGTACCCTCGCCCGCGTAAGGTGAGGCACGCATAAGAGGATTGTCTCTGGTTTGCATGTTCTCAAAAGACTGCTGTATTTAGCAACTAAACAGCTCATTTTCATTGAGATAATTAATGAGAATGATACTAAGATTTTTTTATATATTACAAACACCATTTGTAAAGACAAATATGTGGCTGTTAATTTATGAAAATGTGAATCAAACCTTCACTTTCTGCTATATGCACAGCTTACACAAGTAGACATCTGAACACAACTCTTATGGTCAGATCCTCTTCTCTTTGGCTTTTTAAGAAAGTCACAATAGCAGTTAATCATCTACGACGGTAGGACAATCTCTTCACTTTAAATCGGCCTTTTCCTAAGGTCTGAAGCATCAATGCCCTTGTTTTGCCATCAGGTATGAGACCACTCTCTTGCATTCTCAAGTACAGCTTCTTAGCTGATTTGACCTTGCGTCTTAAACACATTCCATGAATAGCAGCGTTAAGAAGAGATACATTTGGTGGGACTCTCTGTAAATGACAAAAGACAAAAGAATTGTTAAATGTCAATCTTTAGAAATTCAAGGGAAAAAGTCAAAGTGCCACCAGCACTATACTCAAGAAGAAAAGAAGATTAATCATAATCTTCCAGATAAATTTCAAACATGATACTAGGGACAAGTAAATTGTGATAATTTAAACCTTCTCAGAATAGAACCTATTTGACCTTGACTATCCAATTTCATAGCTTCTTTTATTTCATTCTTCATGCATATGGTGCCTATAAACCAAAATAAGAAGTGGAATTTGTACTCGATTCCAATCATTGAGACCTTATATTTGACTACTTACACAATAACCACAATAAACCAAGTCTTTGCACACTTTGTGCTGTTGGACAGTGATGCCACCTTATATTCTATCAGGGGAAAAGGATTTTAATATCAGTTTATACTCTAGATAGTCTAAGCATTTTACCACAAAAAATACTTTCTACTCAAAAATTTTCCTAAGAAAAGATCCTGAATATGACTTCACATTCGGTAGCATCCTTCTAAAAGACTTCAGAACTCTAAATTTAGTTAAAATTTCCTTAAAGAGTAACTCAATGAAGATAAGCTAAATTCAGTTAAACAATGAAACATTCTTTTAGAGCATATTAGTGTAACATGCTTGAAAATGTAAACTTACATCTAAGATTTCCTCCACTTCATCCCAAAGAGATCCCCAGATGCAACTTCTTATTAGAGACAAATAAGTAAATGTATCTGGAATAAACTTTTGATGAATCATGTGGTCATAAACTTGCAATGCAACTTTTGGTTTCCTGGCAGTCTCACAAGCACCAATGACAAGATTATAAGATGCAGTTGAAACCAACAGTCCTGAAGCTTCCATTTGCCATAAAAGCTGCAAAGCCCTACCCCAGGAACCAAGCTTCTGGCATGACATTAAAGCAGTGTTGTACATATGAAGGTTTACTAGTGAGCTCTGTTCTCTTATTCTCTCAAAAAGGTGAAGAGCATCAGCATGTTGATTTGCCCTATACAAAGCACCAAGCAGTGAATTCCATGTGAAAGCATCTGGCGTATGACCCAAGGAGTTCATAACATCATAGATTTTAAAAGCTAATTTGACCTCACCACCTTTTCCAAGTGAATTAATTAACGCATTGCATGCTACTGGATTTGGCTTCAATCCATCATTCAACATTTTCTGGAAGATAGATAATGCCAAATCCCATTTTCCTTCCTTTGTGCATGCACTAATTACGGCATGCATTGTGTCTTCCCGGGGTTCTAATCCATTTTGAATCATCTCATTATATGCATCAAGCGCTAATTCACTCTGATAACAACGAACAAAAATGCTAACTAGCATGGAATAAGTGACTTGTGTTCCAATATAGCCATTTTCCTGGATTCTTCTCCATATCCTCTCAGTTTCAACCCAATTGTTCAATCTTCCACAAATAGATATTGCTGTATTATAAACAATCACATCAAAAACCTTTTTCTGTTCAGAATCACCTTCCAATTCCACAAAAAAATCAAGGGCTGCATCACAACCCTGACCATCTGCAATTGCTTTCAGTATTATGCTATAAGTATGCCCTGTAAAAATTTCATTTCTCCTCATAAATTCAAATGTTCTCAAGGTATCATCAAGCAGCCCATTTCTTAGCAGGCAAGAGAGAAGAGAATTACATGCATGCGCATTGGGTTGAAGACCTGACAACTGCATTGACCTACACAACTCCAATGCACTTCTAACCTTGTTGGACCTACTAAGCATCAATATTCTTCTTGATAATTCTTCTTCATTCCTTTCCTCCAAAAAGTGTACCTTATTATCATGTACAGTTTCCTTCCCGTTTGAACTTGTCGAAGGCTGAGCAACACTTCTGGGCTCAAAATCCAAACTTTGATCAACCACCAACTTTCCCCAAGGAGGCAAATTTTGACCCAAAGAATCCAACCCAAATTCTTCTTTGCCTTTTTGAATCAAACTATTTTCATCATCTTCACTAACCATCTCAGATTCAATGCTAGCATCCATCTTCGGTACATTAACTTTATTATCTATCCTAGTTGACTCAAATTGCAAATTCATTCTTAACATTTTCATTTGTAAACGACCAAACCAAACACATTGATGAACCGGCACCGAAACCATGTTTAGCCTACATCGTACCACACGCCTTTTATAATTCTTCATAGCCAAACCACTATAAAAACACCTACAACAGACACTGTTTCTACATTTACTTTGGTTACATGATTGATACCGCCATCCAAACCCATACGATACTATGGCAAATGAAATTGAATTCCTCAACAATTCCCCCATAACTTAGCACTAAAGAATATCTATAAACAGATCAAATAACAAAAATTTCTCTCAAAATTCAACCTCTTTGAGCAAAAGCCCCAGCCTTTAAGAATATGAATGAACCAATTTTGAGGTAAACTTTAAGCATACCTATTTAAGCAATAGACCCTTAACAGTTCTTCCAAGAAAGTATATTTATTTGTCACACCCCACAAAAAAGATTTCAACTTTGAGGCTGATATAAGCAAATAGACAAGACCCAGGTCGAGTTGAGAATTTGTAAAGCAGAAACAGAGAAACTTACCCTTTTTTTTCGAAGAAGAAGAGTTTGAAATGAAGCAGAATTACCTGTGGGAGTCCAAAATACTAGTGATAGATAGTAGCAAAAACGACACTGTATTGAAAGGCTTTTGAAACGCACCGTTTTTGTCTTCTATATCACTCTACCGGTAGTCAGTAGAGGATACTGATGAGAACGGTTTCACTCTCTGAAGAATTGAAACAAATGGGTAAAATTGTTTTTTTCGTTTGCCAAATCCCCCTTGTATTAGTAGTATTGATTTTTCTTTATTTTTTTTTTATTTGGATTGGCATGATTTGAAGAAGGTAATGAAGTAATGAGAGTTGGCGAAGTGAAGGAAGGAGTAGCATCAACAGCATTATTGCCAGGTGGTCCCTCTCAGGCCACTTTATTCACCTTCCTCAATCTATCTGCTATGGCCTTCATGGGAATGGTACCTTTTTTTTTTTTTTTTTACTTTTCATTTTTCCTCAATTCTTTACCTTTGTTTTTCTTTTAACTTGCTAGTAACTGGGTTCTTTTTGGTTGTTTTATTTTCTTCATTAATTTCATGTGTAAATGAGTTCTTTCCCATGTATTCATGCAAACAAATGGTAGGGTTGATTTCACTCATGGAAAAATAAGAGGGTCTCAGGCTATAATCAATTTGTGGGTTTTTTTTTTTTGGCCAAAATTTGTGGGAAGTTGAGTGTCTGCCTGTAAATTGCTTGTTTAGCACTTAGATTTCCTTTGGTCTGATTAAGTTTTGGTTCATTAGTCACACAAAATGTCTATTAGCACTTAAGTTGTTTTAATTCTAAACTGCTGCTAGATTGGTTTATATTTCAACAAATCATTGACTTGTAATCCCAAATGCAACAAAACAATGGAGGAAATGACATGTATATGCTAGTATCTATCAAGATTCAAAAGTGTAATTTTTATTTTCTAGTGCCATTCGGTATGCTGGCTACTGAAGGTTAAAAATGATATTTGGGTATTTCATTGTTTAGCTTAGAAGATATAAAATCCTAGGAAAATGTACTAGAAGTAGTGAATGATTTACAATACTGGGGTATCAGTAAATTCAACCGAAAATTGGGTTCCTTGGCTTCCTTAATCAATGTGCAAGCTACTGTAGAAACTTTTCCAGAATCATTTTGGTTTTGATTCTTTCTCTACGTTTTCATGGTTATAGAGTTGGCTTGCGAGTTGGAGTGCAACAGGGGTGAGGATTACCGCTTGATCAAGCTCACAATTGTAGACTACAATGTATGAGTCGTATGCCGTTAAGTTTCCTTCACTTTGTTAGTACCAATAATTGCCTTCCATAAAACATCCATCCTTTTTTTTTATATATATAATGTTTTTCTTTTTTCATTTTTCTCTAATTAGTTGTAGTATCTGACAGAGTAAGAAAGAGCATACTGTTGTAGTGGAGTGTAGAAGGCATGATGCTGCTCAGTTTCGTAACATTGATCATGCTCATGTGTAAGCCATCTTTCTATTGATTTGCTAAACCTCAAAACACAGTTCTCCGTCAATTGTTCATATTTAATGTCATACATGTGGCATTCTTTAACCTTCATATTGCTTGTTTCTTAACTTGTAGGCTTTATATTATCATTCTTCAGATATGCTTTCAGATCAGCTTGTATGCGCTTAATATTTAAAAAAATGGTGGAATTTGAGAACTTAAAGAAAGACACCAGTAATAAGCTTCACCCCTTAAAACCCTAAAGACTGAAATTTGAACTTTTAGATGATTTCTATTTTCGTTAAGTATTCTTTTTTATTATATTACAGGCAGATCCTGATACATCTTTCTGTTCAAGTCAATTTTCCCTGCAATGAGTCATAGCACATTAATAACAAATGGCATTTATTGCTGAAATTTATTTTGAGACATTTGGGAGAAGGATGTTGTGGATATGGTTGAAAAAAGGGAAGGGAAGAAAAAGATTCTGATCTCATTCGAATGTGGGACGCTTAAATCTGACAAAGCAGCTGAAGACCATATAAAGCAGTTCATGCCTAAATTATCTGGGTTGGATGCTGTTGGTATGTAATCAAGCCTTTTTTCTCAATCTCAGTTGCTAAATATTTAGAAATGTAATTCGGCTCCTTCGAAATGGCAATATGTCTTGGATGCATGGCAATGTCAAAATTCAATGTAACCTCGGCTAGTAAACTTTTTGTTTTCATTTTCTCTAGATTCAATTTATGTATTCATGTTGTATTAGATACTGATAATTCATGTATTCATATCTGGACAGCTTTGTTTTGATATCTGCTGTCTTCTTGTTGTTCTAATATATTCTCATGTCTGCCTGAAATACCCTGTTAAAACTTCTAACTAGAGCTTCGAACCTATGCAGGATTTATCAACTGGTTAACATGTATATTCTCCTCAGGTAATTCACCGGAATATCACCATATGAAAACAATCCAATCGATAGTTTTTGTGATGAGGTGAATACTTTTTTTTTTTTAATATCATTGCTGTCTATGAGATGAATTAATGAGTGAATATTCATTAGGTCACTGGCATTCCTGGATCCAACTCCTGTATGAATTCTATTACAAGAACCAAGGCTTCTAACTGTAAGCTAATTGTAAACTTAGCGCTCCGGAGATGTAATAAGTAACTATAAGCACCCGACAGATTTTCAAATGTTGAGGGAAGAGAGATGGAACTCCCAGAGTATGAGTGGAACAGAGATGGACACAAAATCCTACCAGATTGCCATGCCATAGCATGATGACAGTATAGAATATTGATGGTTTTGTCCATGGATAATGAAAACCCATTACTATTCTATCCTAAAAGCCGTGAGCATGACAGAGTGGTATAGGGCTAGTGGTAAAACGATTTTTGACACTCTCAAGTCTTCCATTTGCTGGATACGTATTTGAATAGAAATAATGAGAGCATGGGTAAAACGCAAGAGTTGAACAAGATTAGACTAGTCATGTCCTGTGTTTTTTTTTTCTTGGTTTAATGATTGCGACTACACAATAATGGACTGGTAGTTCTTCTATCTTCCTTCCCATTCTTGAGTCTTGATACAGATGAAATATGATCCTCTAAGTTTTTAATAAAAGAACGATGCATTATGCCTTATATCTCATATTTTGAGTTAGCTATATAAAAAATCAAATAAGAGAATCAAATTAGGTTATAGTTTGCATTCTCTTGCACGACTTATTTCTATCAATAACTACATTTTCATTTAATTTTTTAATCATCATATTATTTTTTATTACTTATATCTGTATCTTTTGTGGTCTACTTCTAGATATTTTCATCTAATTCTCCTAATCGGTGCATAGCTAGGCTTATGTTTCACATATCTAAACTATTACAAATGGCATTCACTCGTCTTTTTTTCAATTCGGATTACTTTTAATTTTTTTCGAATCTCTTCATTTTTTATTTTGTCTCATTTAATCTTACCACGCATTCATCTAACCATCCTCATCTCCGCTATGTTCATTTTCTTCTCATGTTTTTTATTAACATCCTAACACTCATTTCCATATAGTAATACAGGTCTTATAGTTGTTTTATACAACTTCGTTTTTAACTTTAAAGGTATGTTGCGATCACATAACATGCCCAATGCATTTTGTCACCTCGTACATTTTGCTTGAATCTTATGTTTGACATTTGCTTCTATCTTAGTACCACTTTGAATAATTGATTCCAAATATTGAAACTAGTTACTTTTTGGTACTTTCTCACTATCCAACTTAATAACACTAATACGCATTTTCTTGTGATTATTAAACTTGCATTTCATATATTTAGTTTTAGATTTACTCAATTTAAAACCTCGAGACTATAATATATTTCTTTGTAATTCTAATTTGGCATTAAGGGCATCACAAGTGTTCGTAATTAAGACTTTATCTTTGGCAAATAATATATACCATGGCACCTTATCTTAGATACATCAAGTGAGCTCTTCTATAACTAATGCAAAAAGGAAAGGATTTAATGTTGAGCCTTGATGTAATCCTGAGGTAATAGGAAAGCTATCTATCATACCCTCAATCGTCCTCACATTCGTTATCAATCCGTCATACATATTTTTAACTATATTGATGTACTTTAAAAGGATTCTTTTTTCATGAAGGCCCACCAAAACACTTTAAAGGAACTTTATCGCATGTTTTCTCTAAGTCGATAAGTGTCATATGTAAATCTTTTTTAATCATTTGAAAACCTTCCTAACAAAAGCCTCAAAGGTGGATCAGCTCCATTGTGGGATGTCTTAGCATAAACCTAAATTGATTTTCGAAAATAATGACCTCACGTCACAACCTACATTCAATTACTCTCTTAAAGTTTCATAGTATGACTCATAAGTTTTATTTCTCAATAATTTGAACAATAATGTATATCACTTTTATTCTTGTATAAAGGTACATGAGTGCTCTTCCTCCATTCTTTTGACATATTTTGAGTACGTCAAATTTTATTGAAAAGATTTGTCAACCATCTTATCCATGTTTCACCCAAGCATTTTTTGACTTCAAGTGAGATTTCATCTAATCTTACAGCTTTCTTTAATCTCATCATTCTCAAAGCCTCTTTAACCTTGTAGCTTTTAATACTACGCTTAAACACACAATTTACAAATAAAACCAAAAAAATGACTAAAAACTTTATAAAACAAAAAAAACATTAAACAGATAAAATGGCTAATACCTTCAATTTTCAGGGAGAAAAGAAAAGAAAACTTGTTAACTTCAATTATTTGAAAATTAATCATTCTCAACTCATCATTTAAAATGGCTTTATTGCCTCCCATATGGCTTAAAAAAATTAATTTGAGTTAGGAGTTCATTAGCACCTATCTCACATAAATAGTCATTCTAACCAAGTAATAGTTTCTTTATATACAAATCAAGATTTTTTCAATAACCTCTATCAAATCACAATAAGAAAATAGAAGCGAAAAATATCAAAGCAATCTTGCATGACACTACTTGTCTTCTTGTAGTTGGATCTCCAAGTTTTTGGAATGTTCCAGATTCTACTGTAGCCATCTATCCAAGTAATAGTTTCTTTATATGCAGTATGTAAAAATACGTCAACAGCTACAAAATTTGTTGATAAAATAATAAATTTTTAATATCAGTGAGCAAGATTCAATCTTTGATAGTCTCAAATACAAATATATTATTTATCTATATATATCTATTTATCTGTATATAAAAATATGAATTCTCAAATTGTTAAAGGTGATCGACCTAAATATTTTTATAAATTTTTTAAAATAACAAATTTGTCTTTAAATATATAATTTTTATTAATTAATTTAAGTTTAATTTAAATCCACTAAAATTAAAAATAGATTTATATGAAATTAAATTATTTAAAATTTTCATTCCAAAAATGTTAAAAGTGATTCACTAAAATATTTTTAGTAAAATTTTTTATAAATTTTAATTTAAACGAATTTTTTTTATTATTAAATTTTTTTTATAATTAAGCTGCAAAAGTATTAAAAGTAATTGATTAAAATTGTCTTCATAAAATTTTAATTTAAAAATATTAAAAATGATTGATTAAAACATCATTATTAATTTTAATTTTTATTATTATTAGACTCTTTTTTTATAATTAGAATGATTTTTTATATAAATAAAAATACAAATAGAATGAGATCAAAACTTAGTGTATTTAAGAATAAAACAATCACTTGACGTTTTTTTTAGTTGTTGTAAAAACAATTGTATATGTAATTTATGTTGATAAATAAATTCACTAAAAATAATCATAATTAAGTTATTGAAGTATATTTGTTTTTTTTTTTTTATTTTTTGCCTCTAAAGTTTTTGTTTTAATAGATTTGTTAATTATATATGTATGCTAATGATTTTATTATTTATGCGTTTTATGAATTGATCATTTAATTTGATTATTGATAACATAATTAAATTTTTTTAGTTCTTTAAAATAACTCTTTAACATGTTATTTTTACAGTTTAGTCTGACTTTTATAATTAATTTCTCTTCTGTGTTTTTTTTCTTCTAAATTTTTATAATTGATATTTTCATAAACAAAAATTAATATCAAATTAAATGCAAATCAATTGCACACCTTTCATCAACAATTAGCACTATATGATTTGTTGAACACTTTAATTAGAATTTTCACTTGTAGAATTAAATGATTCAGGAAGTGATAGAGTTACAAGAACTTGTGATTGGATCCCATCAAATTACCATAAAATTGTTTACTTTGATTAAAACAATAATTGATTTAATTTTTTTAGGGTAAACTCTATCTAAGTCCTTAAGTTTTGAGTTAAATTCAACACAAATCAATTAGTATAAGAAATAGACAACCCGCCCCCAAACATTTCAAATAAATAGGACAAATAAGTCTTACCTTTAGTCTTCCATTAACTAATCTGCTAAGACTTTAAGATTGAGACCATTTGACCTTTGAATACTCAATATATTTGTTTACCAATAGCCTGACAAATGAAGATGTTGAAACTACAAAATTGAAGAGCTACTACAGAATCTATTGGGTTGGAAAAGTGTGATTTTAATTTTTTTCTTGGTTTTTTCTTATGTTGACAAATGAGAATGTTAAAGCTATATGTTGTTTTGTTTTGTTATTTTATATGTTGTTTACCATTTGTTTGTTCATCAAATAATTAGGGCCTATTCTATTACGTTAAAAAAAATATTTGTTGTTTTGCTGTTATGGTTTTTGATAATATTTTATTTATTTACGTGTTATTTTTATAGAGCTATTTATAACTGTTTACCAAGTGTTTAAAAAAAATTCTCAAAAGAATATTGTTATACCTTCTTCAAGCAATAGTCACGCACTATATTATTATATTCAATTTTAGAACAAATATTGTCAATATGATCAAAGAGCTGCTATAAATATATCATAATCTAAACATAATTATTCAAAATTCTATTTTATTTGTCAAGAAAGGAATTATGGATTTTTTCAACGGTGGCATCCAATCAATGTACATTCTGATACCAATAAAGATATTGAAATGAAAAAAAAATGATAGAGATTAGAAGTTTTATGATAGAAATAAAAAAAGAAATTGGAGCTATAAGAGAGTATTGCAAAAAAATTGAGCATAATTTGAACTTATTGAAAACAATCATTGTTGCTTTGTTTACAGTTATTTTAGTTCTTGTTTTCAACAAATAGTGTTTAGGATTAAACAACTACCGTTTAGTGTTAAACAGATACTAATATGAAATTATTGTGTAGCTTGCTAATTTAATATTGTAAGCTTACATTTTGTTTCAAATTACCATTTTGATGTTGTTAGCATATTGATAGCTTAAATTTTATTTCAAATTATCATTATGATGTTGTTAACAGTTAGGGTTTAAGGTAATTGGTTAGTTTAACAAGGCATTTGAATTCTATTACTTTAATTGATACAACTTTTAAAATGATTAAAACTCCATTTTATCCTCCATTTGCCTCAAGTAATTGTGCTTTAAAAGTTTAAAAAATTTTGACAAACTTTCCTCTTTAAACATGCATTACCACTCTGCAAATCCAATCCAAGCATAAGTAATAAACAACTAACTAAGCATAAACAACAATCAAATTAACTAACTATGCCTATATCTTTGGATTAATAAAAAAAAAAAAAAAAATTTGTGTCCTGTTAGCACATACGTGTGCACAAGTAGCCTAATAACACATACATGTACTTCCCAAAATTAATTTGTATCCCAAAAGTTAACTTGATATTACATCTCAAAAGTTAAGTACATCAACTGACAAAAAGTTACATATTTCCATTTTAAAGATTAGTATGCTACATATTGACTACCTCGAGCAGCCCTTCAATCACCATACATTTGATTTTTACTTGAAATAGCAGTTTAAGTCCTTGAACCAAAAGTTAAAAAGCCAACGGGAATGGCAGTAGAATTCACAATCATAGATGTAGCTATTGATCCCCTTCTAGTAGCTCTCGATCCTTTCTTAGTAACTCTTGATCCTTTACTAGTAGCTTTTGATCCTCTACCAGTAGTAGCAACATACAATCTTGAAGAGTTCACAATAGATTATGGTTTTGATGCAGCACCCTCGATTTGTTTCTTCACCTAAAAAATCAAACATAGTATAAGTAATCAAACATAATTACTAAAGTAAAATTTATAAGACTTTATCTTTGCAATTGCCTTTTTATTACTTCCAATAGCAAATATTGGACAAGTTCTTTTATTACGGCCAAGTTTGAGACAGAAAATGCATCTAATAGTGTTACTTCTTTTTGCATTTTTTTTGTGGCTGTTGGTTCTCCAGGTTTTCTCCTTCTATTCTTTTTAAGTCTACTTGCCATCAATAATTGTTTCAAACTCACCATAAACAATTCATTATTAAAACACAAAAATATTTTTTTTAATGAAGAAGGGTTGTTAGGTTCAGTTGAGAACTCAAAAGAATGGCAAACTAATCACAATAATCAAATACAAAGCATCTATTAAACTATTTCAAACTTTAAAATGGATAAAATTATATTATTAATTTATTTTATATTATAATTCACAACATTAAAAACATCACCCTATAGTCATCACAGTCCCCAATCTCATTTCTTCTCATTCCTATTGTAGGATAAAGTTAAATTAGGATCAAAAGATAATCATCTTAATTTTTTTTATACGAGAATATGTTTCATCTTTGATCTCATTCCAATAAAATTTTAGTTTTTTCTATTAAAAAAGGCAAACAAGATAAATAGACTTCCATAATGTGAAGTCCACATACTAACAAACAAGCTTTTTATTGGTTGCTATGTTTAACCACCTTCTAGTTAATTTTAAAAGTCTAAAAGCTCTATATAGAATTTTAATTTATTATCAAAAGTAGATGCCATCACTATTGATATGAATATAAAATTATGATAAAATTCTAACTAAATTATTGATATATATTTTTTAAGTGGACCACTAAGCTAGAAATTATGATCCTCTGGCTTATTAAATTTATAAAATGTATATTAAGCTTTAACCCCTAGTGGTTACAAATTTCACTCTTTTGGTTAATTTATTTTTAGAATTAGAATTGAATAACTTATTCCCTAAACTCCAAATTTAATCCACACATTTGAGTAAATTGGAGTATATATAAAGAAATTACTTAAAATCCCCCATGTAAATATCAAAAATAAAAAAAGAAAATGTATGCAAAAAAGTAATAAAATTAAGCAAAATCCCATACAAATAAGGCTTATATAAATAACTTTGAAAGTGTGCTCACAATGTATGGAAAGGGAAAGGTTGGTTTTGCAGTGAAAGCTTTGATTCTTTGTACTAAATGCAAAGCCCCACTTTTACAAATTGCTTCCTTATTACTCCTTTCAAGACCTTTGTATCATTTCCCTTTTTATGACTAAAACCACAATTAGGTTCTTCTTTCGAATGGTCAACACTAAAAGACAAAACAATTGCTTTTACAATTGTATGATTAATCTTATTATTTCTAGTTCTAACTTTCCTAAATTGCACCCATATCTTATTTTGGTCTTGTCTCATGTCAAAACTTACATTTGACTTGGTATTATTAAACAAAGAAACAAATTTCTCATTATTAAAACAAAAAAACAATTTTTTAATGGAAAAGGTTATTGGGTTAGGTTGAGAATTCAAGACAATGGCAAACAAATCATAATAATCAAGTACAAAGCATATATTAAACTATTTCAAACTTTAAAATGTACAAAATTATATTTTCCTATTTCAAACTTTAAAGCAGACAAACAATTGTATCAAAATGAAAATAATTACAATTAATGAAAGCTATAACAAAAGTCAAATTATGGTATTAAATGCCAGATAAAGTGAAAAACTTACCAGATGAAATTGAAACAAAGTGGGTTGAACAAAATAGCCCTAAATAGTGATCAAAAAAAGAGAAAATCAATTTTAACAATGGTAAAATTAGCTCGAATCTGAAAAATTTTAGACGAAAATGATTGAGATTATCTTCGATTGAAAGAAATTTCAAGAAAAATCTGGATTGAGAAAGAAAATAAAAGGAAAAAAAAAGAGGTTGAAAAGAAAATTAACGAAGGGAAAAACTTGTCAAAAAACTCAGGTTTAGTTAGGTTATAATTTTGTAATTGCGCAAAATCTGTTAACAGAGTTAAGAATTTTGGGGTAGGTTGTCCAGTTTTAATATTAATGGACTTGTGTTGAATTTGGCTCAAAACTAAAGGACTTACATAAAATTTATCCTTTTTTTAACTTTTATCTTAATATACATATATATGATTAATTTATATTTCAAAATTATTTAATTTTTTTGATTATGTTAAATTATTTACTTTTTTGGTCATCTATGTGATTGAACAACCTAATATAAATTATTCTAAATAGAGAATTATCAAGTGAAATAAAATTAATTGTTTTTGGTTAATTCTTTTAAGATATGAAAAAATTCATTATAACTCTCTTTTGAATATGTTTATACCAAAATTATGTTTATTCATGAAAATTTATATTATTAATGTTGAAAATCAAATTATTATAAATTGTATAATAATTACACAACAAGGTTGTTATTCTGAGAATTCAAATTTTCTTAAGAAAATATGACAAGTATCAACGTTAGAATTTATTTTATTTCATTTTAAGTTTTAAAATTATGTATTTTAATATTTTTATATAAAAAAATTGTTTATAATAAATATTTTCAAATAAAAGAAAATTTAATCTTTCAATTGATAGAATATATAATTACATTCAATTGAAGGAAGCACCAATGAAAGATTATCCTAAGCAAAAAAATGAGATAAAAGATTCTTTGATTATACATAGCTCTATATTCTCTATATGAGAAAAAAATGTACGGCTATATGATGTTTCAATAGAAAAATACAAATATATTGATTTCAAATTTTTTAGGATTAACAAGAAACTTTTTTATTAAGAAAATTATTGTATACTCCTTTATTTTCTCCTTTATATCAATTGAAAAATATTTACTATTGTATCAAAATTTTTAAGGTTGCTATATTAGATAATATTTATTCAAAAGAATTGAAATTCATCAAATTAATTATTGTTATTACATTTAATATAAAAATCTTAATATAAATTATAATTTGACTAAACTTAAAAGTGATTTATGGGATTAATTAGCAAAATTCATTTTATAAATCTTTATTTGATTGTGTATTTAGTATTTCAATTATTTTAAATTTTGACTTTTTATAATTTCAAGTTGGAGTTTAGACTTATAATCAACGACCAAGTAGATTGAATTAAGTTGTATCATCTATTTCTATTCATAGTGTACTTAATTATTCACTTATGCATCTAAGCAAATTTGACTCAATAATTGGTTCATGCTTCTCTTTGTTTAAAAAGCTAAATTCAATTGTTCTAAATCCAAATATATATATATATATATATAATATTCAATTACTTGTAATTACAATTTCACTTTAAAAATACTCTTAAAATTAATTAATTCAACTAGAAGACAATACAAATAAGACATTGAAGATGTAGAAAAAAAGTTTAAATAGAAAACTTTTAAATTGTTACAGATGATGAATAAGAAATATTAAATTATGATTGAATTACTATTTCAATTCAAATTTTGATTATATTCAATCATTTTTAAATAGCTATTAAGTTGTTGATTTTTTAAAAGCAATTAAAATTGAATCAAGTTAGTTTTATTTTTATAAATTTGTGTATTATATTATTTTTAATTCAATTAAAATTTAAAACAAGTAAAAAATTTATTTATACTCAATTTGAGTTTTGAATTATTTCAAGTTTAAGTTGCTTAATTTATGTTATTTTAACTATACTTTTATTATATCAATAATAAACTTCAAATAGAATAAAAACACAACATAATAAAAATTTAAATACAAAAATGATTGAGATACTAATGATAATTAAAAAAAAAATCTTTATACCAAAGTCTTATAGAGATTAAATGATATATCTTCTTTTAAGAATTTTGAAATTCGTATTGTAGAATGTTAATCTAGATCAATGAGTTTATAATTATTTATTTGTTGATCAAGTTACTATTATATGGATTAAAGAAAATAATTCAAATATTTTTATTTGAAAAAGATATCATAACTAATACTAATTTAGGAACATCGCATCTAATTAAATATTATTTAGGTTGTTATGACACCTTACAATATTTTTTACTCTTTTCACCTGAAAAATTATCATAAAAAAATCAAAAACGTCTCAAACAAAAAAATAAAAAAAATAAATTTTGAATGATGGTGATAAACATGAAGTAACAATTAAAAAATATATTATCTTTTTGTTTAGCAATAAAAAACTTTTATGAAAATTGGAAAGGCAATTATTGTGAATGTAATATTTTTTAAAATTATTGTCTGTTTAATTTTTATAAATTTTATTTGGTAAATTTGTTCTCATTACTTTTATCTGATATATATATATAACAAAATTTTTACCCAAATTATACACTTAAAGATAGAAATATAAAGTAAAGTTTATTACGTTCCTTTGTGACAAAATACTCAAAATTTTTAATTTTATATGCAATTGTACTTCGCTACTAAGTATAAAAATACATAAACTAATAATTCAATTAAAATATTAATAAAACTTATCTTTATATGTACTATTTTACCATGAATTAAAAATTTTGAAGAATATCTTAAAAATATTAACTATATATTATATATATATTTAGTTAATATAATTTTGATACTTACATTAGTATAAAAAGTTATAATTTTAACATATAATTATGTATTAAACTACGGATGGTAAATTAAAATCATTTACTTATACTTTTCAAGTTATTTACACTTAAATTTTTTATTACTTTCTTTCTCTACCATATAAATTACATCATTTAGCATATATTGTGATCACCCTTTTTTTTTTTTTTGGATATACAAAAGTCAATAATAACATAGTAGTAGATAACTAATAGCTTAATAATTAATAATTAAAAACTTAAATGCAACCAGTATAACATAATAGTAATTATTAAAACTTAATAGTAAATTAATAATAACTTAATAGTAAATTAATGATAATTTAATAATTAATAATTAATAATTTTTTAATAAATCAATAATAATATAATAAATGTATAACACTGTAATAGTAAAACAATTATAATATAGTTGTAAATGTATAACAATATAATACTAAATTAAAGATTCTTTAACCAAAAAAAAGTGATAACTTAGTTATTAATTATTGATAACTTAGTAATAAATTAATACTAACTTAATAATAAATTATTAATAATATATTAGTAAATTAGTTTTAATTTAATAGTAATTAATTCATAGTAGCAAATCATAAATAACTTATTAGTAAATCAATAATAATTTAATAGTAAATAATTGATAACTTAGTAATTAATCGTTGAAATTTTAAAAGAACATCAATATAATTTAGTAATAAATCATTGACGATTTAATAATTAATTAGTAATAACTTAATAGTAAATCATACATAATTTAATATAATCAGTAATAATTTGATAATGAATTATATATAAGCATTGATAATTTAATAATTAATCAGTAATAACTTAATAATAAATCATGCATAATTTAATATAACCAGTGATAATTTGATAATGAATCATATATAATTTAGCAATTAATGATAATTTTATAGTAAATAACCACAATTTAAGTAGTAAATCAATAATAATATAATAATAAATATATAAAAATATAATAGTAAATAATTGATAATTTAATAGTAAGTTTATAAGTTAATAGTAAATCACTAATAACTAATAATAAAATACTAATAATGTAATTGTAAATCAATAATAATTTGATAGTAAATTAGTTTATCATTGATAATTGTTTAGTAAATCATCTATAAACTAGTAGTAAATCAGTTATAGATTTATAATAAATCATCAATAATTTAGTGATAAATAAAAATAATTTAATAAAAAATTATTTTATAATTTAATGATAAATAATTCATAACTTAATGATAAATTAATCATAAATTAATAATAAATCGTTGCTAACTTAATGATAAATCAATGATAATTTAAGTGTTAATCATTGATAATTTTTTTTTATATTCAAAATTGTCAGGATTTAAACCCTGATTATTAGCAAAAACAAAGTCAAAACTTTTATTTTGAGATTAGGATAAACTTACCATGAATCTATTCAATAAAAAAATTAGTAAAAATTTTTAACTTTGAATAAAATAATAACATTATTATATAAAAAAAATTATCTCATATATGGTTAGCAAACTTTTTAAATTTCATTTTTTATAATTGTAAATGCATAACCACATATTAATAAATCAATGATAGATTAATGAAAAACAAGTGATAATTTAATAATTAATTATTAATAACTTAATAATAAATCAATAATAATTTAGTAGTAAATTAATATAATTTAACAGTAAATCAATTTGAATTTAATAGTAATTAATTGATAAACTTTATAGTAAATCATAAATAGCTTAATAATAAATCAATGATAATTTAATAATTAATCATTAAAAACTTAAAAGTAAATTAATATAACTTAGGAATAGTAAATTATTGATAACTTAATAGTTAATCAGTGATAACTTAATAATTAATCATGGATAATTTAATATAAATTAGTGATAACTTGATAATAAATCATAGTTAATTTAATAATAAATTTGTGATAATTTTATAGTAAATAATAAAAAACTAAATGGTAAATACATAATAACATATATTAAATCATTAATAATTTATATATAAATTATTGATAACTTGATAATAAATTACTAATAACTTAATTACAAATTAGTACTAATTTAATTCTAAATCAATAATAATTTTATAGTAAATTAGTTAATCATTAATAACTTTGTAGTAAATTATCGATAAATTATTAATTAATTAATAGTACTTCAATACTAATTTAGTAGTATATAATGGATAGTTTAACAATAAATAAATGATAAAATAATACTAAATCAATGATAATTTAATTGTCTATCATTGATAAATTTTTTATACTCAAAATTGTTAGAAATTAAATCTTGGTTTCTTACAAAAATGAAGCCACAAATTTCATATTGGGAAGTTACAATAAATCTATCATGAATCTATTCAATAAAAAGGTTTAATAAAAAAATTCTAAATTTGAATTAAACAATAATGTTATTATGTAAAAATAAAATCATCTTATATTAAAACTAAACTCTTACTTTCTTACAAATAATCCATTGTTAAATATATGATAACACAAATTTAATCAATAATTATAAAAAAATATATCACAAATTACCAAAAAATTACAAAAATTACACAAAAATGTTATCAAAATTTTATCAAATATTGTCAAAATTATATCAAAGATCACCAAAATTATATCATAAGTTACCAAATGAATATCAAATGTTACCAAAATTTTATCAAAAGTTATTGAAATCAAAATTATATTAAAAGATATCAAATTTTACTTAAAAAGTATAAAAAATACAAATTAAATTATTAGTATTTATCCTTATTTTCAAAAATATATAAAAGGTAATCAAATTTTACCTATATTATACCAAAATCAAAATTAGATTGTTAGTATTTATAATTATCATTATCATTGCATCAAAAAAATTATTTATTGAGATGAATTTTTAGAGATAAGAATTACACGTTCGTCAAACACATACCAAAACTTAGTATATATGCAAACATATAAAGAAACATATAAAATTATAGCACAGGATGATTAAGTTGACACAAGTTTTAGACTGAGATCTCAAGTCCTTGAGACGGTTTTAAGTCAACTCAAATTCAACTAGCAATTTGGCAAAAGAGAATGCAGAACTTGCTGAATTAGACAAGGAACTCCCTTCTAGAAAAATAGATTCGGAGAAACCCTTGTTCTGTAGTAGTTGAAGATAGTATGCAGTTAATCCAGGAAGGCTGGGTAAGAAAAGTGCGTCATATTTTACGTGAGGGCAATAGGTGTGCTGATTTGTTTACTAATTTAGCTCAAAATTTCCAAGTAGGGGTTTCCATCTTAGAGGAACCACTAGATGAATTATTGCCACAGTCGGAGGAAGACAAGGATGGCCCTGCTGTTCTTCGTAGTTAACCCAGTTTGATAGGATCTAATGCTCCAAAAATAAATTACTCATGACCAGCTGGAAAAAGAAGGCACTTATGATTCTTGTCTAAAGGTAACAATAGGCTCTTAATTTTTATTTGGTCCAAACTCTTTCCCTCTCTTTCTCTCTCATTCTTATGTTTAAAAAACAAAAGATGCTGTGATGCAGGTAGTATGAAGGATGATATGCATTAATAATTACAGTTAAAACCATCTGCATAGAGGGGAATGAAAAGACTCACCTCTATCTCAGCAAACAAGAAAGGAGTTTCAATTTAACTAATTCATGTGTGAAGGAATCATAAACAAATCATTTTTAATTGTGTCAGTAGTTTTAACTTCATTCTTTTTTGATAAAATATGAATGTTTGCAGCGAGAGATTACCTGGTTCGCATTCAAAATATCACTCTGACTCAGATGCCTCTTCAGAATCAGACAAGGGTAAAAGGGTGCAGATGCCAAGCATATGTCCATTGAGGCAGACATAATACTCAATGCAATCCTTATAAGCTCCCAATCTACGGCTCGCACTCTGTGGTACCATTTTAGCTTGTAGCATGTTCCACAATTTTGCCTTACAATAAGGACACACCGCTGCTGGATGAAGCTGGGCACCCCTGTCAATCAACATCTTCCGAACCTTTGAAACAAAGAATGACTTGAAAACTCCCCGGAAAAATCCCACATCACCCTCCTCCCCTTGGTCAAGATGTTCACAAGGGTCAGACACGTATAGAACATCTGTTCTGCATTGTGGTAAAAGGAAGCTCTTGCCTGAGGTCCTAGAGAACCTGGTTCTGTAAACAAAATGGCCAGGGATTTGAATGCTATTGAACAAGCAACCACCACTACATCCTGAGCAATATATAAGCAGCTTTCCAAGTGCTCTCCAGTTCCCATCAACATTATGACTTCCATTAGACTGCAGATCAAGCATCATCTTTGGGGCCCTTGTTTTGCAGAACTCCTTCCAAAGTACTCTCTTGGCAAGATCATCAAACCATTTACAGACGAATGAAAGAGTGGCAATCAACTTAGGGTTCCAGTTCAGATGTTGAAACACAAGGAAAATCACATCCTCACTTAGATGACCTTTTGTGCATTGACAACTAGAAGAGTGTACGCAACGATACTGCTTTGTTAGAATCATTCTTTCCACTCAATATGAGCAAAAGAAACAATCATCATATGCCCTGGTTGTGCAAGCCGAGAAAATATCATAATTAGTCACAACGTTTTAGTATCTTGACTATCCAGTTTGTGGACCAGAAAGCTCAGAATAAGCTGTAATTTTGAAAGGGTGACTACAAACTAAGATTCCTCAATATAATGGATTAGAAGTTCAAAAAACATCTTCCTTCTCTGAGTAAACAAAAAAACAAAAGAAAAAAAGGTGTCATCATATATGACTTGAAAACTAATGGCATAAAGTCTAAATTATTTTCTTGGAATAAAATAAAGCAAAGAAGAGCTAGGGCCCTATTGCAAACTCATGCCTTCGACATAATCTAGCCAGGCTGCCAGGCAGAAATTCCCTGGAAACTCAGGGAAGCAGACATACCGCTGGCTCCCAATCCTAAATTTTAAATCCAGATTATGGTTACTCAGCCAAAAACGTGAGGATGTCTGAGTATGATCCTTATAATCTGCAAATAATGGATCATATAACTTTTTAACTACAAGTTCTTTAGTTTTCATCTCTGTTCAGAGGAGTTGGGGTGGAGGTGGAGACAGATATAGGCATACCAATAACAACAACGTAGAGAGAACTCAGAACTAGAACGAAGGAATATAGATCTTATCTTAATTTCATGTCACATGTAACTCCAAACCGGTTGGATGCTCCAATAACAGAAAATTAACTTAAGGTGCTGGCTTGAGGCCTTATCAAAGAGAAGGAAGGGGGAACCCAAAACACAGAAATGTAATGCACCATGTAATAAGTGGAAGTGAATTTTTGGACAATGGATTGACTGAAGAGTCATACTTTCATTACACTAGAATTTCCATTTTCAACTTCAAAAATCTCCATATATCATAACCCCACCAACCACAACCTCCACATATCTTTCCATCTTAGTAAAAGAACTTGGTCACTTTTTCATAGTCACTTCCTTCTCTTCTCAATGAAACTTAACTAAGATACTTAGGTCAAAAAACAACACCAAGAACTTAATTTATTTTATAATGCAAGCCATTAACTTATCAAAGCTCAGATCCAAAAGAAAACACTTCAAAAGAAACCCGTTATACAAATTCAACTCAAATGCTTAATCCAAACAAAACCCACTTCACTTCTTCACTAAATTCTCCAAAATCCACATTATAAATATTTAAAAAAAAAATCCATGACAAAATTAACCAAAAAATAAGCAAAAAAAAGGCAAAAAATTAAAAGATCAAATCCAAAGCTCTCACCTTTAGCTTGAAAGAAGCTTCCTTTACATACTCTTTAGACCCTTAAACATAGACCAAACTCTGCAGACAAAAAAATTTAACAAAAGGGTTTCCTTGCATGTGCTAAAAAAAAAAAGCCAAAAAAACCAGTAAAAAGAAACTTTTAAAAAATAAATATAAAAATAAAAAATAGATAAAAGTTTACATGAGGAATTCAATCTGGGTTTTAACATTCGTAGAAGGTCATTTAGTTAAAATAAAAATAAAAATTTGTCAGAGATCAAATTGCAGGGAAACAGTGACGAAAAAAGAGGAAGCAAACAAAGAAGCTTTAGAAGAAAAAAAAATAAAATATCAAATATTTCCAGAAAAGTTAATCGTACATCGAAGTATTTTTTATAACATCAAAGGCTAATTAAATTAATCCACGTGTCTAAGAAATGTAAATAGTTTTGCCATTTTATACGTGGCGTTAATTCATTGGAGGTGATTAAGGGTTTCGAGATTTTAGCCCTTTGTTTTTACTGTTAATTGTTTATAATTTCGTGTCGGGACCTAAAAGGTAAAATGACAAAGTAGTAAACTGTCAATAGAATGTTTCGCCACCTGGAACATATGATTTTTTGGAATTTAGTTGATTTATAATTGCTTAGGTGGCATCTCGTCATTGGCTGTTCAATTTCTCCTTTGTCCGAACACCGAAGAGCTTTTCTTTTTTTAAAAAATTACTATTTTATTGAATTTTCTTTATTTTTAAAAAGCAATTTTATTTTACAAGTTGATTGAAAAATTATAAAACATAACGTCATCTTTTATTTTTCTTACAATGTTGGTGTAATTTTTTCTTTTTTAGTTCGACAATAAGATAATGTCGTTGTCACTCTTTGAGATATTTTTTAATTTGGTAAAAAAATTTTAATCTTAAATTCTTACTCTAATCATTCACGTAATATCATTCAATTTAAATTTAAAAGGTTATATAATAATTTTCACTTTCATTTTTAATATCTATTTAATATTAATCAATTCGCTCATTCGTCTAAATTTTATTTTATTTTTATGTTATTATTTTTAAAAAATAAACATTCAATGAAACAAATAGAAACCATGTTTGAATAAATCAAATTTGATAATTTAAATTTGAGATGAGTCAAAAGTGAATATCAAAAATTATCTTGATCATTTAAATTTAATACTCATAATATCAAAATAATTTATTAATAAGATTAAAATATTAAAGCAATTAAATCGAGTCAGATGAACTTATTAATAAAAAAGTTATCGAATATAATGTTGTAATTGAATAATTCATTAACTTCTATTGATTTGAGTGATAAAGAGTTCGATTCTACTTAAGTAAAGTTTAAATTTCGAGTCCTATAAATGAAAAAAAAAAACAAATTTGTGAGAATTTATCCTCTTTATAAGATTAGATTTAACTTAATTTTGAATTAATCAAAATTTAAAATAATTACCGGACACTAAAAGATACGAGATAAAAAAAATAAAACAGTTCATTCCTTTTTAAGTTTGGTTGGACTTCTTGCAAGTTTGGTCCAGCTCAAGTCAAGACCTAGGTTTTTTTTTTTTTTTTTTTTAATTTTTAACCAAAGCCACATTAGTTTCGTACATATAAATTATATTCTTATTTAGAGTAGTATATAAAAATATGTGTTCTTCATTTCATCTTTGATGGATCAAATTTGTTTTATTCACTTGATACAAATCAATCATAGTAGACTTTCAAAAACAAAAAGAAGCATATCCTTAACACAACCGTATAATAAGCATGTCCAGATCAGCACAAACAGGATCAACCATTCAAATCAAGATCAAAGATCTTTAAAATCAAAATGGTGAATCTACTTTTACACTTCCACAGCTCCGTAAACTGGGAGTTGCCTCTCAGAAGCTTAGCTTTATTCTCCTACCATTCTCCTACATACCAATTGTTAATAGAGAAGTTCCATCACAAATCAAGTGACAGTGTTTGCTGATGGTTTGGTATCTTGGAGGGAGATGACAGTTTCAAATGCACCAACCAGGGCCTTAACCTTACTTTTTCGGGTTTCAACAAGTTTACTAGCAGTTTCTTCAATGACGTTGTTAAACAAACCCTTTTCATCTTTTTTCCCCTGCAGATCCTGGTGTCTCAAAACAACCTTTTCCTCACCAGGTTTGTTGTCATTCATGTCACTATCAACTCCCCTCCTCCTAAAGGTTCTCCGGTCAGCCTTGACATTTTGGTTCTCCCCAAGCACTCTTCCTCGCCTGAACTTGAGCCGCCTTGGACCATTATTCTCAGACTGAATGTCAATGACCTTTCCTCTCCTAAAAGATAATTTCACAGGTTGAGAATCTTTGTCATTGGAGAAAGCCATCCCAGCCTTTCTGGACTTTCCTCCATTTTCTCCTTCCAAAAGTTCTGCTTTTTCAATATTTACAGTTTCATCTTCATTATATTCGGAGTCAGAGTCATCCTCTGCTTCAGTCACTGTATACTCTGATTCATCTTGATCTCTTCCACTATGTGATGACAAAGATGGAGAGATTGGGAGGGATGAAGACTTGGGAGATGAGGCAACAGGTGGCGACAATTCAGCAGCACAATTTTCATTTTTATCAGATTCCAACAACATATTTTCTGTCTCCATCTTGATAACATACAGGGTTTTCTCTTTAAGTGTGTCATTAATGCATTCATCATGTTCAGTGAGAGGTTGCTCAGTTTCAGCCTTTTTGACCTTGTCCTGATTCTTCTGTGGAGGCACAACTTTCAAGTTCCTGTTCTTTCTAGCAGTTACGCTCCTAGCTCTAGCAAGAGAAGATCTTGGGGACAATGAAGCTCTTGGCAATTCCAATACTTTCTTTACAGTTACTTTGGAGGTCACAGTCCTTTTTGCCGTCTTCATGTCATTGATTCCACTGTTTCTCCTGACACTTAAACCTTCTGAAGGGGCAAAAATAGAAGGAAGTTTTTCTGCCCAAGATTTCAGCTTCAAAGAAGTAGTATGCCATTTAGAAAAGCTTTTCTCTTTAGCTTTTGATGAAACATCTTTTGAAGAGACTCCTACTCTCTCAGAAGACGCTGATCCATCCTGCTGCATGAATTTAGTGGCATCAGATAAGCGAGATTTTAAATTAGGTGAAGATCTTAGCTTTGCCATTGAGGTCTTTTTTTCCTCTGAAAGAATTTCATGTTTTCTAGACGTTTTTCTGTCAGGAAAGTTTGTGGGCACTTCAACCTTGATGACATCAGAGGTATCATGGGAATTATTACTGGAATTGGTAGAATGTTTGGGCTTAAGCTTTGACACTAAATTCTTTTCTTTCTTTGACGGAACTTCATGCATCCTAGAATTATTTCCATCAGGTGAGTTGGTGGACACTTGAAGCTTGATGACCTCAGATGCATCAGGGGAATGAGTTCTGGAATTGGGGGAAGATTTGGAAATAATTGTTGATGTCTTCTTCCTCTGTGGCACTGGCAAATCCGAGCTCTCAAACAAATTTGGCTTATCACATGGCTTTTTTATAATCCTCTTCCGAAAGGGATGCCTAGCCTTCTCGTCAAATTCATGTTTCTTCCCAAATTTGCAGAAATCATGACAAGAACCAGTAGAAGCTCTCAGATAACGAGAAATAATTTTCTCTCCACTGTTCGCAGAAGGTGAACTAATACTCTCCTCAGCCATCAAATATGTAGCGGAAGAGAATAAAAGTTTAGAACAGACAATCCTGGAAACCAACCAAAACAATATTAATGGTGGTCAATTAGGCTAGATTAAATACATACATAAAAGGACTGCTGGATGAATAAAGCAAAAAAGAGCACTAGCCTAGCTCTAATTTGGTATTATACTAGATATTATTTGGGCTGTTGTGGATGCCAAAATTTGTCCACCTCGAGAATTAGAGGGAAAGATTTAAAGATCATTAGAAACTAGTTCTTGTTAAATTAAATATCATTAACTTCAAGAGACAACTAATAGGAACAAATTGGAAAGACAGTTTTTAGAGCTATCAGCATAAACTAGAAACAGATAAGAATAAAGACAAAGAAGAAAGAGATAAATACAAACACTTCATATATAAACAACGAAAGAGCTTGACTTCACCATGCATCTCGTTTTAGAAATGCCATAAAATATCATTAGGCATCTCCAGCTTGACTTCACTGTAACATTTAAAGCATTGTCAATCTATACAACAAACAGACAACTATTTTCATGGATTTCTTTGTTTAGTATTCATGGCCTATCAAAATGGAAAATTTTCTAAAAAAACCAATCGCCAAGTATACAGTACCAGAAGGTTCACTATTCAATCAAACAGTTAATATCTATATGAACCAATACAAAAGAACCATTTTTTTCATGTATAAAAATGGGGTCACTATTTTGTTTCGGATTACTTTGAAGAGAATATTAACAACATGCAAGTTGGGGAAAGCAATAAAAGAAGGGGTTGAAAAATTCTCTAATCCACCAATCTTAGAAATTGATAAATCACCCTTCAATGAAGACTATGTCTCATCTAAAAGTCATACCAAAGATAAACAAAAAATCAAGCGTTCACCTATAGATTCCATTATGATCATAACCAAACAAAAAAAGTGATAAAAAAAAATTCAAAGGAAGTTTGATGATAAAGCAACTATATCAGGAACAACAAAAAAAAAAAAGAAAAAAAATCATCTTTGAAGATAAAAATCAAAGAAAAACTCCATCTTTGAAACGAATAAAAGAGGAAACGTACCAAGACAAAGAAGAAGAAAAAGCCAAGGTTTACTCCCAAACCCATCTCAAAATTCACATTTTGGAAGAAACCCATCGTTCCAAACAATCCAAAAACCAAAACCCATGCTACATTTTCTCTCAAAAAACCCCCCCAAAAGAACAGCTGGAAAAACAAAGGATGAGAAGTAGCTGATAATAAGGAAGAGGAAGTTATACCTTTTTATATCAGAGCTAAGTATTAACTCTCCCTGCTTAACCAGAAGGCTAAGTAAAGGCAACTAAACAAAAAACTGAAATGAAATGAAAGAAGGGTTTGGCTTTGCTATGGAAGCTCACAAAAAAGGTTGGTTTTTATTTGAAGACCGTGCAAGCAACTGAAAGGTTTTTCTTTTTCTATGTTTGGCTTCGCTTTGCGCGTTTGGTCTGTTGCAGATTTCTACAGAAAATAGAGACCAAGGAAAAGAGGGAGGAAAAAGAGTGTGACCCCACTAATACAAAACTGAATTTATAAATTAGGTTTTTTTTTTTTTTTTTTGCCAAATAATTCATAAATGAGTTTAATTGATTTTGGTTATGGAACCTTAGGTAAGTAGATTGCGATTTATATTGGGCTCCGTTTCACTTCAAAAAAATTAATTCTTAAAAATGATTTTATATTTTTATGTTTATTTGATAAAAATTATCTGATAAAAAACAATTTAATATTTAATAAAAATAATACTTTTTTCAATAATTATCTTTTCTTTACAAAAAATAATTAAAAAAATTATTTATGAGTAAAATTATTTATTAAATTCATTACCAAAGTTCGACTTAATTTAAATCTTATAAATAATTTTTTAAGTTTAGATTTAAGTTATTTTGATCGTTTTATCATTATATTAATAAAATTATTTATATTTAATTTTTTAAAAATTTAATATTTTAATATTTTAATAATTATGTCAATATTAATATTTGAAAAAGAATAAATTTTTAAAATAAAACTATATCAATTACAATTTTTTTATAATATTATAATTAATTAATTACAATAAAAAATTATATAAGAATCCACTACTTAAAAATGAGTTCTACATAAATTTTTATTAGCTTCCATGTAATGCTGAATTATAATTGGATAATTATATTACAATAATTATAAGTGATATATTCTTTCAAAAAAGCTATCAAATAACGTAAAATATTATTAATTAAGTCATTCAAATAATACAAAATTGTTTATTTTTTCAAAAAATATTAATATTTTTAAAAAGTATTTTTTCGAAACTGGTTTTCTTGAAATAAAGAGAGCTTTAGTTTGAAATTTTTTACATTTCAAGTGTGTTTAGTTCAAGAAAATTTATAAATTTTTTTTTTTAGAATCTTGATGGTAGATATGTGATTCTATGTTTGATTTCAAATAATCTAATTATGAGAGAAAATGTCATATTTTTAATTGTACGAAAGTTTCAAAATAAAAAATTTACCTCTCGTTATGATATTTTAAGATTTTGAAAGAAAAAATTATTTTATTTTCAAATTTGATCTAAATAAAAAATTTATCATATAATCATTACTCTTTTAAAAAATAAATCTAAAATTAATTGAAACTCAGTTGTTTTGATCAATTATAATTTTTAAAATAGATCAATTAAGACATTTTTATACCAAAATGACTTAATTGATAAGGTTTATAATTTTAAAGTTAGTCCTTTAAAATGTCTTAATTGATCTAAAATTAATTTTTTAGGGTATTAAGAAGATAAACATCTTAACAAATTGAATTTGCTCAAAACCATTAATTATAATTATTAAAAACTATAAATTAAGACGTTCAAAGAATCAAATGCCTTAATTGAACTTTTATATAAATAAAATTTATCTTATCTACTAATGCGTTCATGTTTACAAATATTTTAATTGATGATGTTTTATAAATAAAATAATAATTAATTAAAATATTTATTTTTTTGCTAAATGCATTATTTATCATTTAGGTATTTATTATTAATAAAATAAAATAAAAAGTTATCATCATATATGTTAAAAAAATTATGATAATTATATAAGAATTAATATAAATAGATTCTTCTCAATTAAATTAATGAATCTAAATACGAAATATCTTAAAAATAAAAAAAAAATGAATATCACACTTTTTCAAGTATTACATTTTCCCTCGAAATTCAAAATTTTGAAACCAAATGCCTCCATTTAATTGATGAATAATCTGTTCAATTACTCATCTAACTTAGTTGAGAAAATTACTAAAAAATCAAGTTTAATCATGATAAATTAGATTATGAGACACCAACCACGTGGGTGAAAAAAAAAGTGAAAATAAAAAAAAAGAAAAAAATAATTGAAAGAACAAAGAAGTTATGCAACTACTTCTATTAATTAAAAATATTTAAATTCATATATTGAATGACATTTATGACCTTTATTGTATATATTTATTATGATTTAATTTGAATTTTAAATCAATTCTTCAACTTGGTGTCTTTATTCATCAAACTCAATCAATCATTTTATTAATAATATATATATAAATAAAAAGTACAATTGTAAATTTATTTTTTTCTCCTATTTTTCTCTTTTTCTTGATGTGTCAAAATCCAATATTTAATTAAGAGTAATGAAATTAAAATTAAAAAATATTTTAAACTTTTTCAATATTCAAAATTCACTCTTTTTAATATTTTTTTCTTAGTTTTATAGATTAAGATGCATTTTGACATCGTTATTATTAGAATTTTAAGTACGTATTTATATATGATATTAACATTAAACTATTAATAACTATATTTAATTAAATGGAAATATTTTGATGGTTATGAAAGTGGTATAGTGGATGCGCATTAACTTTGTTATGGTTGTTAATTTTTGCGAAAATGAATACAAATTAATCTTCTTTGGGGTTGTTTATTGAGTAATTAATTGGTTGATTTTCATTTTGAGAATTATATTGGGATGTGTTTTTGATATTTTCTTAAATGTGATTTTTATTGGAAAACATGTTATTTTTATTTCTTAAAATGACATGTCAAGTTAAAGATTGATTGTCCCTAATCCAATTTATAAGGTTAACTTTTTATATTTAAAATTCTCAAAAGTTAATTTATAATCATTAAAATTAAAAATCTTGCATTTCACTAAAAAACAATTATTAGTTATAAGATTTATATTAACTTTGGCAAATGATGAATGGTTATCTATTGCCAACTAAGATAAGATAGAATTGATTGCAAAAATAAATAAGCTTCAATCTCATCATTTTCACTTGATTAAAGAAAAATCTCATTATCTCACCATCATCTCTATTACTATTAATTACCCCATTTTCATAATAATGTTTTATTCTTCAAGTTATAATCCATAAATAGCATTTTCTAATTACTAAACACTCACTTTTTCATAGTATTTTAATATTTTTTTTACACAAATATTGTTATTTTCCTCTTTATATATATATATATATATGTGTGTGTGCGCGTGTGTGTGATTGTATTAATTTTTTGAATAAATATATGATTATATTTATACAAAGACACATATGTTTAAAATGACAACAATTTTGTATAAGGACCAAGAAATAACCAAAAAGCTACTTAATATTATTCTTAATTTCTTTTGAAACTTATCCAAATTCATTGGATCTTAAGTTATATTAAGTGATATAATAAGTAATATTAAAAATCAAATAATAATGAATTAAAAATTTAACTCAGTTAATTCATTAATTATGTTTAAAATATGATATTAAATAAAAATAAAAAGTAAAAAAATAATAGTAAGTAATAATAAATGGATTATTTATTTTGTGGTAGGGTTGGGGGGGGGGGGGGGGGGGCTAGAGACTTGTTGGTTGTAAAAGAAAAGAAATTGAAAATAGGGGTTGATATGTCAAAGAGAAGAATAACGGCAATTGGTGGCAATTGGTAATTTAAGTAACATTTTCTAACATGTTAGTTGAGTAGGGTTGTCCTAATCAAGGAAAAAACCATTGGGCATTCTTTTATTTTCTTTTTTTATTCTTATTTTAGAGTATACCTAAATATTAATTAAAAAATCCAAAAATCCCATCTAGAGAACTTTGAATAATCTCAAATCTCAATTCAAAGAAAAAAAAAAAGGCATGTATGAAATTGTAAATTGTATAAAAGATTGTACCATATTATAAAAAAAAAATTGGTTTAATATATTTGTTGACTTACTCCAAAGATCCTCTGGGGTCTTCTTCAACCATCATTTCTTAATAAAACATAAATACAAATCTAAGATCATGTCAGCCATTTTTATTTTAGTATTTTATTTTGTTTGGTCGGTTTGAGGAGATTTCTTCAATGGCCAGGGATACGAAAAAAAGTGTATTATTTAAATTTTATAAGTAAAATTAATAAGATAATATATATCTTATGAAATAATAAAAAAAAAATTTAAAAATGAGATATATTTTATTTGGGAAATTAAAAAATTATATTATTAAAAAATATTAAACGCAATTCTATATTGAAAGCATGATATAGACAAAATATTATTTAACAACATTTGAAACTATCAAATGACATAATAGGTTACAAGCACATTTTTCATTTTTTGTTTTTTTTTTCCATTATTTTCCCTTATATTTTAATTCATTGATGAGAGGCACTACTGGCCATATTAAATAATTTTATTGTCAACAAGATATGGCCCTCTCTGATTGTAATTCATCCTTGAGAAGGTATAGGCAAGCATTATAATCATTGGAGGTTATATAGCTTGCACAAATTTATAAAAATTTTTTGGTCTTTGTGTATTTATTTAATATTTTTTATTTATATCTTTAAGCATTGGCATTGGGTAAGACTTGACACCACATCCCAACAAAAAAGAAGGGAATTTTATAATAGCTTGTGCTTTGGCATCTCCCAAACTTGAAGGATGGACAATTGGCTTTTCCAATACAAAGCCTTGCTTCTGCTGATGGGAAAAGCTGAACTCTTTACATTTTTAGGATGGAGAAATCAAACAAAGTGAAAGTCGCTTCAATATCTGGAAGCACGCCTTTTTTTTTTTTTCGATAATTTATATATATATATATATATATATATATTGGTATGTGATTTCTTTTGTATAAAATACTTATAAAATATAAAATTTTATTATATTAAATTAGTATTGATATTTTAAGTATAAAATATTTTTTATTTTATCAAATATATATAATTTTTATTAAAATTTTAAATAGTTTCATTTTAAATTTTTTATTATTTTGATGGTTAAAGTTAACATATAAAAGTTATGGCCATATTGAAAGGCTGATGATATAGATAAAAAGGAGAAAGAAACAATTGAGTAATAGGGAAAAAGTTCACCTTGGATTCTCCTTCCAATCCCCACCAATGTTCTATGCTTCTGATCTAGCATCTTCTTTAATGTAATTATTCAATACAAAAAGAAATAAAATCTCTACAAAGTTTAGGGCCACAAAAAAAAAAAAAAACCCAAATTTATATTTGTCTAACTTTGGTAGCTTTAGTTGAGGAAGTTGACCACCCAACCAAAAAGTTGGGTCCATGATGTTTATGAAAATCAAATACTTTCATTATATTTGGTATGAATTTTGCTTCTTCATAAGTTTCTTGGTCATAATTTGTTCCTCAAGACAAGTTTGGCATAGCTAAGGGCAAGCCTGTTCCAACCCTACCTGTTTCCAGCTGCTTGCCTTGTTTTGTTTCCCAATTGGACCCCAAGATAACTCTTGTTCTTTCTCTCTAATCCTTATTTATTTTTCTTAATTTTAGGATATCTTATCCTTGACATATATATCGAAGAGGGGAAAAGTGTTTTTGTGTTCTTTTGGGTGGTTGAATTATATATTCTCCATGTAATTGGAAGAAGGGCCCTTACTCTTAACTCATGTAGGGTTCTTGCAGCAGCTTTTATTTCTTTGCTTCATTGTGAAGCAAAACATGAAAACCAGGAGACATGAAATTTCTTGCACATGCAACATTTTCTATGAAATAATAATAATGCATCTAAGCATCTCCTATTTGACTTCATACTTTTTGCATTTCATTTCAATTTAATTGTAGAAGACTCGAAGAAGGGTAATCAAAGCTCTACTTTTATCTTTAAACTTGTAAACATGTTGAACAGCTGTGAAATGGTATATGGTCTATACCCTAGATATAGAAGTTTCTACACATCAAGCAGGTGATTATCATCGTTTCCGGCCGGAGACCGTTTTCTTCACGACTCCCACAGACACTAAAAATTCATCAAGGGATGATAATGTCTTCATATCATCTGGTGGGAAGTAACTGGCTGCCTTCCCCATGAATGATGTGAAGAGAAGAGAAAGTGAAGGCCGAGTTACATATGGCTCACCTAAAAAGTCATCAAGAAATGCAAATGCAGCTAATAATTCGGCCCTGCCTGCTTTAATCGGACCTGCAAAATGGGCAGGAATTATCCTCTTGAATTTCCAGTCCCTTGTAATGCCATCAATCCAATCCCTAACCTGAATTTTTTACAAGCATGAAAAATATATAGTTAAACTTCCAACCAAATCAATTACTTAGATGGAAACATACACACCAAATCTAGGGGATACTTGACAAATGAAATGATTCACTTAATGAAGTAAGAAAATTAGTGTTTAGTGAATTTAAAGGTTTAAGCTAAAATATTATAAGATAGAGTAAGCAAAAGAAAGCTATATCAAAAGTGTTCTTACTTTATCTGGAACTTTGCTGAAAACTAGTGTCTTTATGATAGGAGAAACAATCAGCTTTTGTGACATCTGAGCAAAACTAGCATTCGGTTCCAAAAGATTTGATGGACCAAGGAACAGTATCTGTAGAACCATTCTTTCCCACCCTGTGCCATGCATACTCATTCATTTTCTTGTTATGTACATGAACAACACCTTTAAGTTACATCAGCATTGTACTAAATTCAGCCATCTAAATTGAAAATATTTGAGCCCTTCGATAGAATTTGACATGAAAACTAACCTTTTTGACGGTTTATTTCATTGTCAACTACTGGTTCATCAGGAACTTTCTTTCCTTTGCTAAGTAGTTTTACTGCCAAGCCATTTTTTGCTGATGCCAAGAGGTATTCTTTGTTAATACACTTGGGCGGCTTCTTTGGGACATATATAACTGCATCTGTAACCAGAAGTGTTCTTGAACATTTATGATAGAACGCCACCTCTACATATGGTCCAATTCCTGAAATAGTTAAAAGAAAATGAGTTCAAGCTTGCTGCAGCTTAAGGTAGTCATATGCAAGTTTATTTACCAACTTCTGGCGAGCTTAGAACTTTTTGTTCAATTTCATCAGCCCATGGAGTTGACAAATCCTCATCTTTCAAAATTTTGGCACGAAAAATCCCAAAAAATTCAAGGGGTAAATTCAAGGGCCAACTCCATTGCCTTGGTGCCACCCACACTTGAGCCTTAGGAAATTTTCTAGAAAAAGGGGCCACAAAAATTTTATGCTCATAAGCAAATGTAGGCAGGACAATGTATTCTACTGGAGCTCCTAATTCCTTCAAAAGCTGGAAGAAACAAGGAGATAATTTATTAGAGAATTGATTCCAAGTTCATTCAAGTGAAGAATATGCAGAACATGAGATGATAAAATAATATTTAGGAGCAAAGAAAGAAAATGAATAAAGCAAATAACCACTGATTCTCATATATATACCATTCAAAAGTGAAAAACAATTTAATCATTTCTTATTTGCCTTTAAAAGTCCTTTCCTCCTCTTGGGAGAAGAAAATGCGGTAACCATTGAAGCAAGTACTATCAAAACTGGGCATCCCTTGAAGCTGCTCAATCTTGAAGGCTTTTTCCCAGTCATATGGGTTTGGCCTTGAAATACAGGTTTTCCATTGTCATAGCCAGATACAAAATAAAGGTATTAAACAGCAGGATATATAGTCCCTAAAAATTTAAATGACATATTTGAAAGTAAAATGCAGTCTTCAACCAAGACTAGAAAGCATGAAAGGGTAAAGCAAAATTTGGTTCCCAGATACCCGTGTAATAGGGAAGTCAATAAATTTCAATTAGACCTTGTTCCAGTTGTAAAAGGATAGGCTAAGGCCATGGAATGTTTCAGGTTCAATATGCCGCCCACCACACATAAAAACAGAGATGCTATGATAATTGACTATACAAATGTTTTACTTAAATGTTGAGAATCAGAGAGCGAAACTGAACCTTTATGCATTCTTTGGTTGGGGCAACAGGTGCATGGACCCACAGTCCCCCAGATTTAAGTTTGATAACCGTCATCCGAATGTTTGTTGAGACACTGCTGAAGCCTAATGCTTGCTCTTGTTCGAATAGCCATATAGAGCCTTTCACAGCCTAAAGAAGACATAAACAAATGTGAGACAGTAAGTACAAGATAAAAATAACTGCAGGTGTACTGCTTCAGATGACAGAACATGCAAGTTTGTACACATATAAATATATATATATATATATTTATATAATGTATATGTGCAAGTGTGTATGCATATATATTGGTTTTTTATGCACTAAAAAGATCGAAACTCTTTTGTGTTAAACCTGGCTTAAGTACATATTGATTCATTGAAAGACTCTTACTAACTCACCATGAGCGTAAAGACTCTTGCTGTTTGCAATTCAGGTCCATTATGAAATGTGCTGGTTGTTTCCATAGGTGAAAGTGCTATCTTATTCCATTTATTTGACTTTTTTAGACCAGAGCATAGTGGAATTCCAGATTTTAATGCATATGCTTGGTTCCTGGAGAACAATAGTGCTTAAAATGCAAAGGGATGCATGTTCAGGAAAAGCAAGTTAAAACTTTTCTGCAATTGTGGCAATAGTTTTAGGCTTTCTTACATGGAATTAACAACTTTCAAGTAGAACAGATTTAGCATCCAAAATGCAAAAATGCCTGTATTCTTCTATAATTATCATGTAAATGGGCAGTATTGTTGAAGTCTTGAAGACCTTTCACATCATGAGACAAACTTACAGAGAAAAATAAGCATGCTTAGTTTAAAAAATGATTCAGAAAATAATGGAGAATTGGCTAATCACCAAAAGTCAATAATCATCAATGAAACTTCAAAATCAAACTAGGGTATAACATTGATTAATGGAGAAAGCTGACCTCAGTCCTAGTAGTGCGCCTATTAAGAAAAGGGCCGAGAGGGAATGGAAAGCCTGTTATGTTAAAGTAAAACCTGTTAGCAGAGCCACCACTATCACTTCCAGCTGCGGTGGTTGCAGCACCAGCAGAAGCAACCACCAAGCTAATATTACCATCTTTCTTCTGGCTCCTTGGTTTCCACTGCAAAGAAAAACCCTTCAATGACCCACCAAGGAAACATGAATAGGAATCTCTCAAAGAGATTGGGCTCTGAAAAACAGTTGATTTTGGAGAAGAAACAGAAATGGCTGCCACCATTTTTTTTTCTTTTTCTTGGAATCCTTGTTTAGTTACTCAGGCAGTTCTAACTTAAAATAACAGCCAGAAGGTGAGTGGAAGGAAGGGGGACAAAATCCAAAGGTTGTAATTGCAGGACATGGTTTTGACACGTGGAGGTTGCTGGTTTGATGTTGACACGTGGATATTGCAGTTAGATACTGATTGTCCTGCTTGGATTATGTGAGGATGGGAAAAATAAAGAAAAAAATATATTGTAACATCATTGAAGTTTCTAAAACAATCAATTATATGGTACCTAAAGAAAATTCCTACTAAGGATCGATCATGGAAACATGAATTGGGATTCATCAAATTGATTGGACTATGAGGAGCAGTTGATTTTTGGAGAAGAAACGACAATGGCTGCCACAATTCCTTTTTGTTGTTGTTGTTGGAATCTTCACTTTCGGATCCCTTGGAAATCTTTATTTTGGAGAAGAAACAGGGTCCTTTTCCATATAAAATAAGATGAAATGTTTACATTTCCCTTTCAGTCTTTCACTCTTTTCAACTATAACAAGAGATAATTCTACCTTCTACAATTGCACATACTTTCAGCCACTATTTCCATGTTATCTAGTGACTATTTAATCTTTAAAAGGGAAAGAGGAAGTAGAAAGAAGCGACAGAGACTTCTACTGTTAGACAAAATAATATATACAACGCCATAAAAAAAAAGAATTCGTGGATACTTGAAATTCTTAATAACTTACTGAATTTTTTTGTAGTAGTCTTCTTAACGTGTAGTTGGAGTAAAATAATTTGAACTTTTAATCATGAACGAAATGATCTTAAGATGTGCCATAAATGTTATTTTTTTTTAGATTTATTTCACCTCAACTAATTATAGTATATATAAGAAATGAAATAAAATATTTTTAAGATACAAGAAACCTTATTTATTTACTTTATATTACTAAATCAAATTACTAAATAGTCATCGGTAAGAACGAAAATGCTTTTATCTTCAATAAAGTTTTCTTTAGCGAATAATGTTTGCTAAAGTAGTTGACTCTATGGCCTCGGCAGTCGATTGCTTTTTCTAAAAGTTTAAAGAATCAATTCCTCTAAACATAGTAATTGATAGGGTTGTAAACGAGTCGAGTCGAGTCGAGTAGTGAGAAGCTCGAGTTCGAGCTCGACTCACAACTCGAGGCTCGATACTCGGTTCGAGCTCGACGGAGTTTTTATTTTTAGTTCAAGCTCGATTGTGATCGAAATTCGAGCTACTCGAGCTCGCTCGATTAAGCCGAAAATAAAAATAAGCTCGATTCGTATAATTCGACAAAAAGTTCGATTTATTTATGCTCGAACTCGAACTCGAATTCGAAATATTTTATTAATTAAAAAAAAATAAAAATATATTTAAATATAAAAGCTCGATTTAGGCTCGCGAGTTTACTCGAGTCCTATGATATAAGAATAACTCGAATTCGACTCGATCGATAAGTCGAACTACTCGAGCTCGAGCTCGACTCGATAATAATCGAACCGAATTCGAATTTTTTTCGAATCGAACCCGAATATCTTACGAGTACTAATGTATCATTTACACCCCTAATAATCGACCGCTTACATATATAACCTTCTTAATATGATTTTTTAAGTTTACTTCACCTTAAACTATCTTATAGCTTAATTAGATTTATCTTTGATTAAGTTATTTTTTAATCATATTTTTAATATTTGAAATTATTTCCTAACATTGTTCTCGAAAGTCAAATTGAAGTAAAAACAATGTTCAAAGTGACAGTGTTGAAAAACGTATTTATCGAGATTAGATCCTTGCACAATCCAGAATTTATTGACTTTAGAATCCTTGCACAATCCACAACCAGTCAAAGCTCAAAACTGCAAATCAGTTACATCAGAGAAGCTGTAGAAGAGTGTGATACATGTCCAAAATATTAAAGCCATACACACGAAATCAGAACATGGGGTTAAGACGTACAAGTACATGCGTAATTAAGCTTTCTCAAAGAGCTCCGAAGTCCGGTATATACAGATCACTTCTTACTGCGTCTGGAAACTTTGGTTGGCATTGGATGAGCAAATCTAAGAAATAAGAACCAAAACAATCACGCACAAGCTGAAATGTTTCTAATTAGGAAAATTCTATCACTGAAGAAGATATTGAGAAGCTTTGAAGAACTGCCATAACCTTGGACACTGGAAAGTCGTCGAATTGGAGATTTAACGGTCTTCAGGCAAAGATGCATCACGCTATAGTTGCAAACTTATATTCATGATGCTTGCTGAACATGAAACTGATACCATCTCAAGTGATGATCTCTTTCACAAGCCAGTCTAAAGTAGGATATGCAAAGTACAAAATAAGAAATGAAGGGAGAGCAAACAGAACAGTAATAAGTATGTACAGGGCCAAGATGGCTGCACTGGTAGGAATTGCATACAGGATGATTAGGAGAAATATGATGACTAGAGGGAACTTGGCTGTCAGATGTATAAAGAACACCAGAAATTTCCGAAGGGAAGACTGTATTCTTTCCAAATTGAAGTAATTGGCAAGATGAGTTTGATTGTGGCTTGATCCGGATGACTCAGAATGATGAGGATACTGTCTCCTTCTTTGGTTACACTGAGTTACTTGGTTTGCCAAGGCTAAATTGTTGCTTGATGACCAGTCTGGTGGACGATCTTCACAGAAAGAAGGGCGAGACTTCAGTCTATCACCATTCATGCTCTCAACCATCCAAAGTAGAAAATAATTCTTCCGAGGGAACTTGAGATTTCCCCTATAAACCAGACGAAAAGACAAGAGATTGCACCATGGGCAGGAGATGAAAACTGGAAGTTGAATTGGTAGAGTGGGAAATTTCACAACAGCCCATTTAAGTCCTAGAATGCAGTTTTTACAAAGGGTATGGCCACACCATAAAACATAGGGCACATTTTCTACGATGTTGAAGGATTCAAGGCATATTGGGCACTCTAAAACTTCATTCCTACTGACTACGGAAGAACTTTCATCATCAGAACATTCTGATGTAGCATGAGTTTGCTTTAGAGAATCATTTTTTAGTCCAACAGTTCCAGCAATGCAGTTGGATGCAAAACTCCACATTTTGAGAAGAGGAACAGAAGTGATTACATAGGCAACACCATTTTCTAGTAGCAGAAACTGAACCTCGATAATTACAACATAATGTCAAAACTGATAGGTTCCATCTGCCAAGTACAAGTACCAACAGTCCTAAGTACCAAAAGACAACCTGAAAGGAAAAATAATTAAGAATAACAATCACCTATCATAGGAATTTTAGGCAGAAATACTTCAGTAAGTTTTCCCATTTTAACTGCATGCAACTATTGCTAATGTATCAATCTGGCATTCCATTTTGAATTAACCTACCGTTAATACGCATGCATATTACACCACAAATCAAAGGGAAAACAGTAAGATTTGCACATGAATAGATCTTCAATTAACAAACAAGAAACTAAAAAATCCAGGGTGGTTAGCAAGCAACAAATTGAAAAGTCTACGCCAGGCAGGATGATTGTTGGCCTTCAAAGTTGGAAGTAAGTCTAATATGACCAAGTAGGCCTTAGTTCTCATCTCAAAGAAAGGTCTCATCAGAAAACCAATTCTGTCGACTCTCGGTTAGTTTTAAGAAGACTACTTGACATAAACAAATTTCCTCTAAACCATCTGCTTGATGTACACTAACCTTTCTTCAAGCTATAGACAGTGGATTTACAGCTGTGGCCATGTAAATTTGACTTGACATATAATCAGAGTTCAATTTCAACTTATTCAAGCTAAGATAAGCTAAAATAAGTTATCATACAACTTCAGTTTATATCAAATCATTAGATGCCAAAGATTATAAATAAATACCCAATTCCTGAGAATGAGAAATCATCTTAAACAAGAAAAAAAAAGATAAACAAAATTAATATATCTCCCCCAAAATCATAGGAAACAAAAAAGGTTTCTTGAACATTTTAAGGACCATTGATTTCATTTTAGAACTAGTATTGAGAATTGATATATACAAGAACCAAAATCACCTACAAATTGAACCACTAATTGCTATATGCAAGAAAATAAAATTACCCAGAAAGGAAAACACTTTATAAAATTATTTAACATTAAAGCCAGAAAGAAACAAAACTTAAAAACATAAATAAAAGAAAAGTTATCAGTTTGGAAACAACCAAACAATGAACTCAAACACAACTTACCCAAGAAAGAACATGATCTTTACAATTAAAATCATCTTTTAACAGTACATAAATAAAAAAAAAAAGAGAGAAACTTGAAATAAAGATCTTACAGAGTATTGGGTATCTTGATTTGATGATAACAAAGAGAAAAGAAGAAGAAGAGACTTTCAGCTCTCTCTATCTGCTTTTTGCTCCTTTTTTTTTTTGTCCGACGCTGGAATTTGTCTGCAAAAAATGAAAAAATAATGAAGGTAAAATTGGGTTTTTTTAATTATATTTGGGAAAAAAAAAACCAAGATTCAAGCTTCGTGGAACATATTTATTTGGGAGAGGGGACCTCACCTCTTTCCAAATGCAAACGGCACGGGTTTTTCTTCCTCTTTAAACATGACAACGACGTCGTTTTCCCCTTGATTTTGATTTCCTTAACGCCCAACGCCCCGTTTGTAGTTGTTTTTTACTTTTATTATATTGTTTTTCTTCAAGATGTATAATAATACATTTATAATTAATACTGGCTAAGATGGCAGATATTTGTCACTTTCCATTTTTTTTTTAACTTTTTTTTATTTTCTACAAAATTAAATATATTTTTTATTACAATAAATTTTTTTTTTATAATACATATATACAATTCACATGTTCATAAATCAAATCGATTCATGTTCAATTATTATTTTAAAAGTCAGGTCTAATCAATCTTATCGTTTTTAACATAAATATATATTTTTTAAAATTTAATATTTTAAATAAAATTTCGAATTAAAATAAATTAAATTAATTTTCATTAATAATTTAAATTTTCTAACAGAACCGAACTCATAAATCTCATTGCAAGACGTAGTCCGAGTTTATCTCAACCTGTAAATAGATCTATCCACGCTTAGCTAATTGATTAGATTTTTTTTTTTTTTTACAGATTTATTCTTTTTTTTATTTGTTTTGGTTTCAAGATGACATAAAATTATTACCAATTGATTGTTTTTACCTAACCTCTTCAACAAATAAAAGAAAAGATGTTTGGAATTTGCAACATAAGATCTTGATGACTTATTGATAATCATCTTTTTGGGTGTTATTAGGTCTAACTTGAGCTTATGGTGATTCAGCCTTACCATATGCCCACTCCAATATTAACACCCAAAAATAATATTTATGATTTTACGTTCCCTGAAAGGTGGTAAATGAAATTTAAAATTTTTTTTTTTTTATATTCTAAGTTATAAAAAAATGAAATTGTACACTAAAACAAAAGTAAGGCCGAAAGAATTCTCTTTAATAAGACGAATTAAAGCTTCAGTTTCATCCAACCATTCTTAATTTCTTTTTCACATGTAGATATGTTATGTTAGCAAGCAAGGTTTAGGCTTTCGCTTCAGATTTTGGTCTATAATTGTTTCGTGAATTGAAAAAAAAAAAATTTTAATATTCGTTTATTATTATCGTTATATTTATATCTAAATATATTTTTTTATAAATAATTTTAATCTCATCATTACAGTAATCAATTTCATTATTATAATAAATAATCTTATTGCTATTATTATTTTTAATATCATTAAAATTAATCTCATTTTTTAGCCAAACCAATTCCTTAAAATGATAGGTTTTTTTAATTGAGTTTACATAAAATAATAGTGCAAGAGTCAAATTTTGTTTTTAAAAGGTTATGTTTAATCCACCTTGACTAATAACTAGATAGTAAAATTCAGTCCAATCTACTATTAAAACGAAAAGGAACCAGTTTGCTTCACAAAATCACAACATTTCTACAATGGCAAAAAGCTTTATTACAGAAAGGAAGATACTAGTCCATAACATTCCAAACCGCCCAAAAAGTGTAGGTTATTAAGCACTTATCAAACTGTATTTTTCTCTATACTGTAGTTTTCACCTTCCAAAATTTTCATAGGGTTGATTCAGGTTCACAAACTAAACTTTATTGTAAAAAGAGGGGGAGTGGGGAGCGTTGGACGAACCAAAATTTACAGTATTTTTGCCTTCTATTCAAGGTGGTCATGTGGCCTTAATGACATAAACATTGCAGCATATTTTCTAAGGCGACCTTCAATTGCTTCATTTGTTGTCGTTGGAATCAATGGACCTGATCTAGTCCGCATCCTATAGCAGCGCCAAGCAAATTGTATGTTCACAGCTGCCCATGTTCTCCAATTCGATGAGTAGTATCTTGCTGTTCTCTTGAGCCTATTGTTGGCAAATCTGTACTTGAAGTGTTCAGTAATGTATCGAAGATCGTTTGCATCGAGACCAAATGCCTCTGTGTATTCATTGCAGGAAAATGTTGCTGATGAGGCTGGAAGACGGTCTATAAATGGGCGACGAAGGCACCAGGAAAGGAGTTCATCACCTAGAAATTCACCAGGTTCAAGTACACCAGTGGTTATCATGCCTTTCCTGAGGCCTTGGCTACGTTTAACGTGTCCATGAACAATAAACACCATCCTTGGCACTGGATCTCCTTCTCTTATTATCTGTCTCATATGCACTAAAAATTGTTCAGCTAATTTCATTATGTTATAGCAGGATAGTGAAGTAATCTGTTCAGTTTTTTTCTGCATGTACCTTTTCATCTTTAGAGTACATAAGAGGCTTGACTCGATCGCATATGTTGTCAAGAATAAGATCATCTAAGCTATGGAAAAGTGGTACCTTAGAAAAAGAAGTTGCAATTTAGTTGGATACTTAGATAAAATTCACAAACATGTAAGATAGAATTTCAAACTGTTCCACTTTAACTATCTGTTTTTTGGCACAAAGGAGGTCGGACAGGGATAGTAGGTGTTGAAATTTGAACTCCAGACCTACTTAAATATAGCCTTGTAAGATGGTTACATGAATATACTGAACTAAGCTGCGAGTTAGCTTTAAACTATCTCTTTGAGTGTTTGCCCATTAAGATATTAGAATAAGACTAACTTGTATGTCAGATATCATTTGCCATTAAATTTGTTTCATAGAACATTAGCTGTGATGTTTCCTTTTACCTTTTTGATCAAGTCGAGGCAAAGATAGCGCTTAATGTCCCTTCGGAGCCCTTCTGGAAGCTCTTCAATCCATTTCATCTCTTCTTCCCCTCCCATGGTATCCCATGTTTGGCTTTCAAAATGGCGTACTCGTTGCCTTAACCCAGACGGCAACTGCCTTCTTCTCATCCACCATTCAACATCTCGACGCCTTAACTGCAATTTTTTCCTGTTTGCCATAACGACATGTAAAAATACCTGTATAACAATCACAACGCCTTTGTCAATGCTATTTTCTCCTCAAATCAAAATCCCCTTGATACAAAAAATGAAACATTTACAAAGTTAAGGAAGTTATTGAATTCACCTGAATATTCCCAACCAATAAGGTGAAGAGGAGCAAGCCCCCGAGGACGATGCAAATGCTGAATACTACCTCTAGAGGGTCACTTGTAGGGCTAAGCTCGTTGCCAAATGAGCTGTAAATTTTACTTAGCACAATTAATGTAACACACAGTTTTCAAGTACTGTAATACCATAATCCAAAGCTGAAGCTAAGGTTGTACTAGATGTAAAACTTTGATTCTTTTGTAGGTTACCTCAGGTTCAATAAACCCCAAAATATGGGATAAAGAATCTTAACCGCCAGAGAATTGCTTGAAATGACTGGAAGGGCAGGTTCATAGATCCCATAACGGAATGGTCCATCAGGATCAAAGCAAAACGACTTGGTCATTATCGTTGAGTTCCCTTCACAATGACTCTTTAACACATTTGTTGGTGACAGATATTGACTGCAAACCCTGTTTGATGAGCAAGAGGAAGATAGGTCGCAATGAGCACTTCTTTTACACTGTTGTCGGAGGCACGTGACAACGCGTTGTGTCGCTAGGACATACCAGCATCCTCCAGCAACCTGTAGCAAGAAACGGAATGTCCCAAGAATTTGTAAGTGTCAAATCTGAAGAAAGCTTAATACGCACTTATACGCAGGAAATAAAAGTATAGACTCACATGAGATGCAATTAAGTAGGCAATAAGATTAAGGCCAAAACCCCACCAAATGGAACCAAATATATAACCTGTAACTTTCCTCATTCTCCTCATCAAACAAAGGCTGTGGTACACCTTAGGGAGGAATTGAAACAAGAAAATTAGTAAAATTATCGTCATTATTAGCTTATACCGCTCCTCTCTGAGCAATTTCGGCACCATTAACCAAAATACTGCCTGCAAGAAAGCAAGGAAAGCATGAAAAAATTAAAAAACATTGAATATATGATTGCCAAATGTGACTATGTCTTATGGATGTAAGCTAACTTACCAATGTAGCAAAATCATAGAATTGTATCAGAACATTATTTTGTTAGAAGATGATCAATGGGCAGTTTTATTAGTACAAAAAAAGAAAAAAAAATGATTGGCTAGGTGTTCTTATGTTCCATTGGAGCAATTAGTAAGTAGTTTGCATAATGTTTCACTAAGGCTACATAACAGCAAGAATTTTCAGGAGATGAGGATGGAGTATGCTCTTTTTGTGATTTCTAGAGATGAACTTAAATGCATGTGACTGTGGAAAGAAAAATTGTCAGTGTTCAGGTAACTCCATGTTTGACAAAGTATCTCAGTAACGAAAAGAATCATAACACTGCATCCCAGTTTTCATCTTAATTTATCGAATAAGGAAATGCAAAATATGGCCTTTGCAGCCTTCTTTTCCCTCAAAATGACAATGTCATGGCAAATTTATACTTCCAAACTCAGGAAGAGCTCTCAGATATAGGGCTTATCACAGTCCAAACAGATTAATTAGTCAATAATAACTGAATCTAACTCGCTTGTTATTGTAATGGCTCTGCACAAGGACGCTTTTACATGCAAAAATGGAGTTGATATTGTTAGCCAATAGTATTTTCTTTTGAAAGGTTAAAACGTAATTTAAGACAAATTGCGGAAGACATTCACTCGGCAAAACAAGCTGCTAGACAAGGTTCTCTCCCGAAAAAAAAAAGAATCCTAAACCCCCGAAAACACGGCAAAGAATAAACAAATAGCCAAAGTTAGCTGCTAAAAATTTAATACTAGTTCTTTTCTTTTTTTTTTTTTTTTTTTCATACAAAGTAATTGAGATTTAAATTTAAGACCTACTAACTGCTGTTTATGACCAATTGGACTAAGCCTTGGGTTTTAGTTCTTAAACTGCTTTCTTTACAAGCCTGATTTTCTAGAGTTACATTGTCGTGCTAACTCCTATCAGATTAGCTTCTGCATGATCCTCTAGTATTGCTTTTCTCTTTTCCTCTCTTAGATATGGGATAAAAGATGGAGATGTAAAATTCGAACTCTCACTTTACATATCTTTCTAAACTTACTTTTGATGTATATTATAAGATACTACCTTCTACATTTGGGATGAGGAATATTATAATAATACTAAGTGAATACCGGCGGAGTCAAAATTTTTTTTGTCATTTCTATTCACTAATTTTTTTGTTGTAAAATCTACTTAATTAAAAATATCTAAAAAGGACGAAAGGTGAAAAAAACAAATTGAGTGACATGTAAATACCTCAATTTGTCTTCTTTCATCACAAAATTTATTTAATAAAGAATAAAAATTAAGAACAAAAAAATAAAAAAAAATACAAAAACTAAAGAAAGGGAAAAAACTAAAAATTTAAAAATAAAAAGCTATAAAGATTGTCACATAGATATCTTCATTGAGCTTAAAAATTAATTTTTTAAATTAAGAAATCAACTAATAATTTTATTAATATAATATAATATAATATAACTATAAATATAAATACAAAATTAAATTAATAATAAAATATATACTTATATATATATATATATACAAGCCAAAATGGATCATTACAAAGTACCCTAAACATTCTTTCACCTTGATTATGTATAAATATAATATTTTTATTAAATTAAGATATTAAATAATAACATTATTAATATAATATATATACATATAAAATTAAATTACTAATTAAAAATATATTTATATATATTTATATAAACACTTAACGTAAGGTAAAACATTCTAAATTCACTTGCAATTCGACTTTAATTTTAAAAAAGAAAAAACTTAAACTTTTTTTAAAAAAATTTAAAATCTCACACATATTGAATCAAAGCAAATCGAAACTTATGAAATGTGAGTGTTTTATCATCCAAACATTTATTGATTTTTTTTCTTTATAAAATTTACGTAATTATAAAAAAAAAACTAAAAAAAAAAAGCAAATGATGGGAAAAAAGAACTAAACGAGGATGCAATGTGAATTTATTAAATTAAAGTACTAAAAAATAATTTTATTATAATAATATATATAAATTTAAATAAATAATAAAAAATATATTTATATGTATGAAGTTAAGGTGAAACATAGTAAACTCATATCCGACCTTATAATATTTTTTGAAAAAGAACTTTGATCTAATTTTAAATTTTAAAAAATACATTTATTGAATTTGAATGAATCAAAATTTATCGGATACCAATTATTTTGTCATTTATATCTTTATTATCTTTTTTTTAAAAATTATTTATCAATTTCTTTTGTTGCAAAATTCATATAATCAAAAAAATAAAAAAAATGAAGAGTAAAAAAAGTAAAATCCGATCCCATGTGTACACATCTTTTGACCTTTTAAAAAAAATTGATCTAATTAAAAAAGAAAAGAAACATGGTGAGTTTTTTTAATTAAAAATAAAATTTAAATATTATTAAATATAAATTAAATGCAAAAGCAAATTAAAAAAGTAAAAAATATTAAATATAAATTAAGAAAAAAAAGGAAGAAAAAAAAAGTACCATAGTACGTAACAATATTTATATTTTAGATGTTAAGAGATAACGACGCTTAAAGCCCTCAAGCGCTCAAAGTTGCCATTGCAAATAGTTCTTTGATCTTCTACTTACTTCCAGATAGAAGAAGAACTCAAAATGAATGGCCAAACACCTTCTTTTAGTGGTGAACTATTCTAAACATTCAAAGTGTATTTGCTTACTAGGTTTTTTAGATAGGAGGTCGTAGCCAGGGAATAAAAAAATGATTATAAGTGTTGAAATTTTACGATAAACTTCAAATTTATTAGATGTTATTTTTTAAAAATAATTATATAAATTAATTAAATTAAATTTTTGTTTGGAATACCCGTAAAAAATGATAACCAACAGAGTTAGTTGCCAACAATGCATTTGATGGTATGATTACAGAAAACTGGAAAAAGGTTGCCGAAGCACTGAAAACAATTTTCAGTGGTCCTGCTGTCCATCTAAATCTAGTGAAGAATTGAACAAAGGGCATTGATTGATAAACAAGCTATTCTGTTAACAATTCAGGGCATTGAATTGACTATAAGCTTCATGTGGCACCCACTCAGAATATGGCTACCAGGAATAAACTTCAGCTGGTGTTCAACATATTGCAAATTTGCGACTACAAATAACAATACAGGCAAACACAAGAAGGCAGAAATCTAGGCCATTTTCCCTTTACTTTTGTTAGAATCTCAGCAATTAATGAACAACCAGTCTAGGAAACTGCGCTTTGTAAGGCAATTTTGGAGGTTTTCTACTAGTGTGAAAACTTCAATGTCAACGTCCACTAACCTCGTTACTATTCTAAAAGCTCTACTACATTGTATACTTGCATTGGTTTGAAAAATTTTCCCCCTACATTTAGACCAATATTTGCCTTTTTCTCGTCCAAATTTACTTTGACAGATGCATATGTATCACCCGAGAGATGTACAAGTACAAATTTTTATATGAGAAATAATTAATGACAACTATTGGTTCACAATTGTTGGAAGTAAGACACTATACAAATATCTAAATTTATATAGTTTTAATCTTAAATAATGACTTTGCAACAATAGGATGAGATTAGTTTGCTACAAAATTGTTTTATTTTTTTATATGTAATTTGATAAACGATAAAATTTGAATTGACGTCTGTCAAATGAGACAACAAGGAAGTGAGGGAAGTTATGCATAGGGAATGTATGCAGGATCGAATATAGAAATAATAAATTACGAACCTGAGGGACAGGAAGTATAACAAAAACATCAAACCAGAACCCTTTGAGAGACCTCACATAGTGTGAGGCAATGGCATGTGCATCCCACACGAGTTTCCCGCACCCGACCACCAATGACTCCTTTGACACGTATGCCAGCCTGAACTGAAGCCATAAGTGCCACAAGTGCACCGCATCAACGCACGTGCGTACGACGGTCACGATCGCCGCTAACCCGCCATCCAAGTATATACAAGGCGGCCCGCCCTCGCTCACGATCAAAGTCAATGTGTAAAAGAACATAGGATCAACAGCCAAGGCAATACCACGTGCCACCAAGAGAACCCGGTTCCACCTTTGAACTAATGCACTACGAGGGTCCAGGATTTTCCCAAACGGCCCTGAGGTGTACCTCGACCGGGGCCTGGTCGAATTCTTATTTGGGTCCAATGACGCCTGAACAGGGAACAATGATGACCCGGCAAAAGCTTCCCATCGAGGTTGGTGGACACTGTCACAGCTGGTGGAATGGAAAACTGGAACTCCAACTTGAGTGCAAGCATAGCATTCAATAGAGTTGGAAACAGGTCCATCTTGCTCACTGCTGCTCCTGCTATGATCATTCTTCAAGCCCCAAGTCCTTGCTAGTCCAAACCACCTGTTCATAGTCATGCCGCCAGGAAAACAAAAATAAATAGAAGAGTTTGATTAATTCTCATTTCATTCAATGCCACATGTAACAAAATATAAATATACATATCATCTTAGCTAATTAGAATATGCTACTTTCATGTGTATGTGTGCGTATTATATTATATGTTTGTGCGTGTATTTGTATAACATTTTCAGATGCTTTGAGGAAACGGAAGGTAACCTGGGGAGGGCAAGAGAAGGCATGGTGGGAACATGGGAGAGAGGAGGAGATGGGATTTTGGGGAGGTTATTGGAGGGATTATATAAAAGTAGTAGTACCAGAGAAAAGGCGGTGTCAGGCAGTGCATGAAGAGGGGGTATCTCGGCTATAACCAAGAGAAGCCACATTTGAAGTTAAAGGGAACGTGTGGAAGGTATGGGACTTGTATCCAATAACACTGATCAATGTGTAAGCCTACAGTCAACTCATTTTACACTCCCCCTTCTCATCAATTCTACAAGGACCTGATCTCTTTATAAATCAGGACATTTTTTTCCCTTTTTTTAATAAATAATACAGTTTGAGAATAAAAAAAATATTATAGATATTAAATTTTAAATTTATCAGATATTATCTTTTAAAAATAATTATTTAAATCAATTGAATTGAATTTCAAATTCTTCTTTTAATTTTATGTAAAAAGAAGTTTCATATTATCTTATCATCTCAAAATTTAGAGAAAAAAAAAATTCAGCCACATTCATATGATTTTACAATATAAATATTACATTTTTTATATAAAAAGATTTCAGTATTTTCATATTTGGATTTATTTTAAATTTTGATTTCTCGAATAATTTTAGATTTAAATTATTAAAATTAAAATTAAATTAAAATTTCCCACTCAATTTAAGTTCATGCTTTAGGTGAATTAAGTGATTTATTTTGTTTGAATGCACTTTTATCACATTTTACTTTATAAACTTTCAACTTAAGTCATGATCATATGATGCCAGACCGACATCAAGTCATTTTCAATTTCAGTAAATTCGTATAAAATCGAGTTGGATTAGTGATTATCACTAGTTAATGTTAGTCATTATAGTTGGAGTAGGTATAGTAATATTTTGGCCTTTCGGTTGATGGAATGGGATATTCATAAATAAAAGGAAACTTCCTCTAGTTTGTTTCTTTTTGAAGAATTTTCATTACGAGGCTGGTAGCGTGAGATTAGACTCCTCAAAGTTGGATTTTGATCTAGCTTTTTCGTACAACACCAAAAATTTTCTCGTCAGCTGAGTTTTACAGATATCATGTATCAACAATTTTGAACCACAATCCCTTGTGTTAGAAAAGAAGTTGGAGAGTTACGTCTATAATATGCACAGCATCATTACTTTTTTATTTTTTGAGTTGATGTACGTATAAATTTAAGTACATACATGTATAATATGTGTATGAAGACAAGAACGGATTTAAGATTTATATTCAATATGGGCAAATTTATTATATTAACTAGTGAGCCTTTTACTCCGATTAGGAGTTTCCAATTAAAATAAGATTTAATCTAATTGAAATATTTCAAAATATTCTTTTATTATGAATTTAAAAATTTATGATTATAATTAAATCATATCAAAATTTGGTGATAATTTCCCAAAAATTAGTGGATCAAAACTACTATGCTTACGTTGCATGATGCCGACGCTTGAAGCCTTTGGGAACATCAAAGTTGGAAATAGAGATATAACAAAGCTTGTTTCGGAAATAAGCATGAGTGACCCAGATGGCCAGACTGGCCTGTGGCAGAGGCAGCCCAGATTTTTCTGTCGAAGACTGATAAATACATCCGTTTATAATCAAGCCCACCAATTTTTTCAAAGCCCATCCTCACCAATAATTGAACAAATAAAAAAAGTCAAAGCAAAAAGGAGAAAGGGATGATTTATATACCTGGAGAGTACTTCGGAGACGGCGATAATTCCCTCCTTTGAAAGAAACATTGGTATGCCGACAATTAAACATGAGTTAGGTACATAACAATTAATTGATTTTTGGATACGTTTGATATGATATTAGAATTAATATTTAAAGATTATAAATTTTAAAAAAATTTTACATGTAATATTTTATTTAATCAAATAAATATAAAAATAAGTGACTTAAAGATGTCATAACGGTTTTAAAGACTGTTAAACGAATTTAAAAAACAAAAGATAAAGTCGACACCAATTTTTTTGGTTAAATGTGATTGATAATCTATTAAAACATATTTTTTAATAAATTTTTAAAATTAATTAAAATTTATTAAAAAATAATTTTTGAGTATATAAAAATAATTTAGATTTAGGAATCGATTACGCATAGCGAAAGATTAGTACTCCCACAGTATTCATTTAAAACGATATCAATTAATTATGTGTTACTTTTAATATTGACTAAAATGATCTTAATTTTTGGTATTTAAAGATTTAATGTCCTTAATTTTCTTTAAAAGCACATTTTTTATTTTTTAGCAAGCTAGAGAAATAAATAAGAACCTTATATTGAAAATTTTCTAAAACTATTCTAATATTCTGATAATATTAAAAGGAATTATCTCACCTAAGGAATTTTTAAGAATTGTTACTCAGAATTCTTCAAAAATCTATGCTCGATGATTCATATTTATTTTCATAAAATATGATATTTATAATTTTAAAAACAAATAGCATTTTCTTAAAAAATCATTTCTATGCCATTTATAGAAGAATGAAAAATCTTTATCGAAAATTAATCTAAATATTTCAATACATTGACGACATTTTAGACAGATTTTCTTACCTAAAGATTTTTAAAGAATAACTATTCTAATTTTTTTAATATCTTATCCTCAAAGATTTTTTGTTTATTTTTTATAAAAATTATTAAAAATCATATAATATTATAATTATCTACAAATAATTTATTTCACAAAAAAACACACTATTATTCGTTAAGAAAATTGTTTAAATTAAAGAAAATAATTATAGAAATGAAAATTTTTTATATTAAAAAGAATCTTCTAAATATTCTAATACTTTATCAATTTATAGAAGACTTTCTCACTTAAAGAATTTTCAGAAATTACTACTCGAAATTCTTAGAGTCCCATCATCCGAAATTTCATTACTTTAAAGCCATGCAATAATATTATTATCTATAAACAAATTTATTTCCCAAAAAAACTACTATATTAAGTATAATGATAAAATGGAAATCTTTTGTATTGAAAAGAAATTTTTAAATATTCTAATACTTTAACAATTTTTAGAAAACTTTTTTCACTTAGAGAATTCTCAAGAATTACTACTCGGACTTTTTAAAGTCCTATCATTGAAAATTTCATTTACATTTACAACTATATATTGCAAGCAATCAAGTAAAATATGTATATGAAAAACATATATTGATTATGTTTTAATCTTATTTAATTATTTTCCAATTATCACAAAAAATTTGAAAGGACCAAAGTAAATAACATTTTTATTGAAAATTTTCCTAGATACTTTGCTACTTTGGTGATATTTTAAAAAAAATTTCTCACTTAGGGATTTCTTAAGAATCTCTACTTGAACATCCTTAGAATCTCATCCTTGAAAATTTTTATTTACTTTTTTCCTTTCTCATTTAATTAATTATATTTTATTCTAATTTTTAATCTTTAATTATACCAATTTCATTACTAAAAGAGTCATTACATTATTACTAACATCTATCAAATTTTTAGAAAAATATACAAATAAAACTTTTTTTGTATTGAATATTTTCCTAAATACTCTATTACTTTGTTGATATTTTTAGAAAAATATCATGACCTAGACATTTTAGAGAATCATTACTCGAAGTAACGATTCTCTAAAATACCATCATTGAAAAATTTCATTCAATTAATAAATTTTGCATAAATCTAACATATATGAAGAACAAATTACTCTAAAAGTAAATTGGAATATAAAATTTTAAATTGCATAAGAAATCAAGACAAACATATAGATCCACTCACAAAAAGTCTAAAAAAAGAAATTTGAATTACAAAAAAGTGTGCATAACTTTGAATGATGAGTTATGCATGAAAAGAGGTGTTATGGAGAACAAGCAACTTTCGGTCATGTGTTGAAACTTTTGTTTATTATTCAAGTAAAATGGAAACTTATGGCTTTTCACCATCTAATCTTAAAGTAACATCACCTTTCCATGTAATATTCTATTTGTTCAAAGGTCATGAAATGTGCTAAAAGGGAACTTTGCTAGGTCTTACAACTACAAATCCTAGTATCTATATTTTGGAGATTTTTCTTCTTCTTTTCATTTTTTAGTTTTTGTGGAGTTTTTCTAAGGCCATAATCGTCACTACCTTTCCTCTAACTAGCTCTCTTATAAGAAAGCATTCAAAACACTAACCAACCATAATACTTATAGCATCAATACATGAAAACAAGCTTGAAACTAGATTAGCAACTATATTCATATATAAAATATCAACTAGAAAAATAGTCACAGTAGTAAAAATGGACACCAATCTAATTAAACTAACAAACTTGCATCAAACAAACCAATATATAATGAGGGAGAAGGCAACAAACATAAAAGAAAAAGGAGCTTTGTTCATGAAAATGATAAGATCCATACAAAAAGACAAAGAAGGCTACCTTTGCTCTTTCTTTTTTCTCGACACCAATCCAATTAAACTAACAAACTTGCATCAAACAGACCAGTATACAGTGAGGGAGAAGGCAACAAACATAAAAAAAAAGGGAGCTTTGTTTATGGAAATGACAAGAACCATACAAAAAGACAAAGAAAGCTACCTTTGCTCTTTCTTTTTCCTCCAAAGAAATGCTTCATTCCCTCTTTTCTTTTTATTTTTTTGTTGGCAATTTTCTCTTTTTTCTTGCCTAGGTATCCTACTCTTTTTCGATAGAATCCTCTCATTTTTTTTTTCTTTTTCCCTTCTCCTTCACCTTCTTTATTTGGCTAGCTTTCTCTCTTTTTTTTTTTTTCTAGCCGTTTATTTCCTTCCTTTCATTTTTTTTTTATTTTTTTTATGTTGGCTCCTTTTTCTCCAGCCCGTCCCTCTTTTTTCTTTGATCAAACTTCCCTCAGTAGACTTTTCCTTTCCTTTTCAATAGTCAGCCCTTTAAAAATATTCTCATTCTTTATGAATATAGATCATTAGATAAGATCTCATTCAAGAGTCAAAGCTTTTTTTTTTTTTTTTTTAAGAAATCACATTTAGTCATTGAATCAATATCAATAAAGCATCCAATGATTCATATTATTCATTGCAAAATTTAGATTTTTATGACCTCTAAACCTATGAAAAGACTATTTTACCTTTATTTCAAAGTTTTCAGTATTTAGACTATTTTCTTAGAAATCAATGTTTCCATGCTTATTTTTTAGATTTT